ACTTCCCCAGTAGTTTCCTGGACATGTTTCCTTATGAAGGCTTTTTTCCACAGATGATTTATTTTACATTGGCTCCACAAAGCAATTATGAAGTCTAAAGATAGATGAAAGGCAGCAGATTCTTCTAAGGTGAATTGAAATTTGTTGCAGCCAATACCAGTCCATTATCATTTTAATAATACTAGAAATAGGGAACAGTCTACAATCCAAGGAAATGACTGTAAAAAATCTCATGGTTCTTGTACACCAGTGAGACTGTGGGTAAGTCTTGTGTTTATTGCCTTCGGGCTGCATGGACTTTGTAAGAAGACTTTGGCTTATTTACTGAGCTAATTGGTGGGATCCAGGGAGTTACAGGACAGTGAAGCTCGAGCCCCCTGACATGCTTTTAAGAACAACTTAATTGGAGCACAAAACAGTAGTCCATACAAATGCTCAGGGAAACGAGTAGAAGTGGAAGGAGAGCAGTGTGGAGGGAACTCATGACTGAGTGTCAATGCAGAAGACTTGTGCAGGAGGTAGAAGTGAGGATAAGCTCGCTCAACGATATGAAAATACTGCCTGCATGTGCAGAGATGGTATTAAGAAAGCTAGCATTCCGCTAGAGATTAAACTGGTAAGAGGCATCAAAGGCAACAAGAACTTCCAGCACACCATCAGCAGTTAAGAAGAAAGAGAAATGAGGGAAATAGGGGCTTGCTTTTGACTGTGACAGGTGATTTAGTGACAGTGAATATGGACATGGCTGAGGCACTTGGTGCTTTCTTTGCCTTGGTCTTCACCAGAAGGGTCTTATAGGCCTTTGCACCTATAGACAGGGCTCAACATGAAGGGTAACTGTCAATAGTGGAAGAGGATTGGGTCAGGGTTCTCATTTGGATATGGAGAAGGCATCTTTGCGTGCTGTTGCATATAGGGTACAAGTCTTCTAGAATTAGGAATGCTAATGAGGACTTGGAAAAAGAATAAGCCACTGAAGTAAATGTTTGGGATGAATGTGAATGGTTGTCTGTAGTGTTACTTTGAAATTTTCAATACATAGTCTCTTCCATTTGGCTTGTCAACAATCCTGAAGTGTTTTTGAAAGTAACATCTCTTGCTGTTAATGAAGCTGGGCAATTATAAAGTCATGCACTGCTGTCTGCTGCTTCTGAATTCCTGAAAAATGTGGTTAGCAATACAGCAGGTTGCAAACCATGTTTTCTCATAGGAATTAGTATAATGGATGGGAGCAAATACATTCTCATACTTAAGAAGTGCAAACAGTTGAAATACGCAGGGACAAGAAGAAATTAAGGATAAGGTGGCAGATGCAAGAATATTAGGACTGATAAACAGTAGAGATGCTGGCTTTTTGGAGTGGATCACAGTTCTTACAGATTTCAGCTTTTGAATTTGTGAGAGTAAGGGCACGATCATTTCCCTGTTATTCTGCCCTTCATCCTTAATTGTTTTAGATTAACCTGAAGATGATGTTGATAATGATGAAAATATAAGTGTTAAGGAGACAATGAGAAAGCTGGTAAGATTTACCTCATGTATACTGTCAGAGTGTGTTGAAATGAAATTTAAGTCACTATGTGTACCATCTTATCTTAGTACTGGGAAAAATGGTTTTGCCATCCATCAAATTCAGGTGCTTATCTGTGAAACTGATAATGGTTAACAAAGTGGAGTGTTGAAAAAACACTCGGCAATGGAAGTTTGACACAAGGGTTAAAGAAGCAACAGACAGCAAGGTGTTCCTGTATTTGCCCCCTTTTCTTTTTTTTTTTTTTTTTTCTCCCTGAACAATCTATGTAGAGTGCCTTTAGATATCACATTTTATAGGTACTTCCAATTAGGATCGGGTATTACGGTCCAGAGGAAAACCTGACTGATCTGCCACAAAAGATAAGAGTTTGTTAATGATTTTATGGACCCATCATGTAATGCGTTTATGGATTTCAGTCCATGCTTAAAATAGTGACGAGCGTTTCAATGAGATGACAAAACAACCATGATGATGCTGCAGACTTACTCCTAAAAATTATGTGGTACCTTTGGTCATCAGTAGCAGTGTCTGTGTACAGCTGTTGTGTGAAGGATTGGCTGAGCTGACTTTGTGTTCTGAACAGACCCGTATCCCTCATTTCCCCCCCACTGGCAGAAAACGATCAGCTTTGCGTTTACTGCTTTCCTTACCACATTCCCAGACAATTCTTGGTAATGGACTTGTATGGGGCTCAGATTAAGGAGTGCATCATTAGATTCTGTATTATGTTCCAAGAACAGATTGCTTTAATGAGGGAACGTAATGCAATTTGAAACAAATTTCCTGATGTGTGGAGTACTGTAGCGTGTCTCATCGAATGTATGACTTCACATTTGCAAAGGATCCAGATTGTTCCTTCTACATCCAAAAATAACTGTGAGAGTGCTGTAAGACATAGTGTTTTAGTTCCATACATAGTTGGTGTGTGCCCGTCTCAGCTTCCTGCAATACCACTCTTTTGGAAAGATGAAACAATGAGCAGTAGCGTGCAGTAACTTGTCCCATGGCTTTTGGTTTCCTGTTTTGATGAGGTTCTTGGTAAGGGCTTCAGCTGTTTATTACTATCTCTTCTCTGCTTGGATTATATGTTCAGGAGAAGCTACTTCATCTAAGTCTCACCTCCAGCCCTTTGAGACTGAATGATCATTCTACCCATGTGTAAGAAATCTTGCTCAAGTGATGTTATTTCATTTACTATTTTTAATAAATGAAATCCTGATGGTTTGGTGCTTTGTTCTGTTTTTCCCAATGCAGCTGATGAACCTTTCTCATGCCCTATCTTTTTGAGCAGGCATTCCACCTGTTACAGATTTTGAAGTTTGTTAGGAGGTGGTTTGTTGATTGTCTCTCTGAAACTTAGGTTTTTTGACATTCTGTAATACCAGTAATGCTTCAGAAATGTGCTCCGACAGGACCTCTCTCAGGGGGGCTCCCAGAGATTGTTCATGCTTTGGCCAGACTGTTCTTCAGTTACACTTTGGTAAGATTTCAGTGCCCAATGCCCTGTCATAAGCTCCTTGCATGGAAGGTGCCCACAGTTGATTAGAGAAGGCCAGTTGAAGAAGAAAATGATTAATTACTTTCTAGTGGAGTCTTTTGAAGTGAGAAATCTTAATAAGGCTATCTTTGTGTTTCCTGTGAGCCTGTCCTTCTCCCTACTTTTCCTAGACAGTTGACCTCACTGCTGTCAAATTTACCTTAGAATTACTTTGAAAAAATATACATGGTCTGCATTGGTTTGTTATTCACCTATTGAAACAAAAGACATTGTTGATAAACCAGCATTTTTCTGTGCCATAAAGCAGTTATACAGTAGAGTGTTAGGAAAAAAAGAAAGCTTTAATTTACTGTCATTGTTCAAGCTTTCTAGGAGTTTGGCCTTGTATTTTAATATTTATTTCATGCTTCTGCATACAAGTCCTATTTTAATAGGTTCTAATGCTCTGATGTAACGTGCTCGTGTTTTGTCTTACTGCACTAGTAGATACATGATGTCTGATAGTGCTGTGTTGCTTGATCTCTTCAGATCTATTTTTAATTTTTAGAAAAATCACAGAAGATGTCACTAAATATATGATATTTAAAAGATATTCAACACTGCTTTTATTTCATGTTATGCTAGGTTATGTACTCATTTTATGATTTACTTGAAATCTTCAATCTGTTCTTTCAGAACTGGTAAGCTGAATTGAGGTTGTGTAGCAGTAATGCATATTCTAGCTGTCAGAAGCATCTGTTGATTTTGGTGGTTTTGTTTGTGCTTTTTTTTTTAAGATGACTGTTTGGTAGTAGCATTAATACAGAAAGATTTCCTAGCTGATAGCAATAATTATCAGAGCAGATTTTCTCATGTCATGTCCATGTTGACTTTACAGCTGCAGAAAACTGGAAGAGTTTAATACAGTTCTATGAAAAAGGCAAAATTTTATCAGTCAGGCTTTGAAGTATTATGTTGACAAATCTGGGTCTATTGTTTATTGTTAGTAAAGCTGGTAGTAGTCTTGAATCACTCTTACAACCCATGTGTTCACAGCTGCTTATACGACCATGTAGTGCAATTCTGCATTTTGTATGAAAGTGCTACAGGAGAATGTTTTAAATATAGACCCTCAAAGCAAATTTGTGATTTCACAGCCTTTAAGTTTTTCACAACTTCTTACAGTTTTTATTACGTAGACAGATGTTTGCAGTCAATTCAGTTGTAAATACTTGTATATATGCACACAGAATGCAAGAAAGAGAGTATAAAACAATGGTTATGTATTTAGAGTGTATGCATTTATGAAGTTGATATAATACGTTATACAGGGAAAAAAAAAACAAACTGAAAGGAATATAAGCTTGTAATAACTTAATGTACTCAAGTGTACATACTTAATGTCTTTTTGTATAATGCTCCTGTTAGCATTAATATGGCCAGCCCATGTTGATACTAACAGAAGGTTAAATTCATTAGTCCACAATGTGAAGTGTTACTGCAAGAGGTTAGAAGATGACATAGTAGAAGACACAGAATTTCCTTCTAAGCATTCTAAAGAAAAATAATTTATTGTTTTCCAAAAATGTTTCTGGAGGCATTAATATTTGGGGTGGAAAATATTAAATAGGATGTAAAATTTTCTGAACATTAATATTATATATATACATATTAAATATGTATATTTAATTTAACCTTAAGACATAGAAAATACATCTATCTACATGCCTTTTAAGTGTCCCATGGCTATTAAGTATCCAAGCAGGTTTAGACTGTTGCTGATGTATAGCAGACTTGTCCCCTTTAATGCCTATGTGGTGTGGTCCCACTGGGTTAGACGCCGTGAGTCTGTCAGATGCTCCTTTGGGCACTGTATAGCAGAGGACAGAAGAGAGCACTGTTTGCAGGAGTGATAAAAACAAACTAAAATTGAAATATTACAGCATTTTGATGTTTAAGAAAATCATGTAGCTGTATTCCAATTTTCAGAGCAGTGGAAAGAGTTCTGTGTTGGAAAGTCTTGTGGGGAGGGATCTGCTCCCACGAGGTACTGGAGTTGTCACCCGGAGACCCCTTATTCTGCAGCTGGTGCATGTTTCCCCAGAGGATGGTCGGAAAACAGCTGGAGATGAAAATGGTAAGTGTGATCCAAGAGTGTGTTTTGCCTAGTAAAAGAGAAAGAGACTTAATCTTTCTTGTTCATTTGACTGAAAAACCAGTTGTAATGTTAAAACTCAAGTGTGCTTTTTAAAATTTACTTGAAAGAAAACACAGCTGCTGCCACATCTGTTCTGTCCATTTAGCAAATGTCATGCAGTCAAAATCTTTTGGATATTCAAAGTATCTTTAACGTTTTAAGCTTTCCTGTTCGTTCTTAGGAAACATTTTTGGGCAAAGCAGGTCAAAGAAAGCATTTTGTTTATGGTAATGATTGTCCAGAGTGTAGAGAACATGATTTTCTTGTGTGTGTTCTTCTTCCCTTCTTTCTTCCCCTTTTACTGTATAAATAAGGTTTTTCCTTGAAAGGATGAGTATGTGACTTTTCAGAAGGAGGTTAGGAAATAGCTAAGTTCTGAATAGAACCGAAGAAGGAGAAATGAAAAGAAACTTGTAGCAGATGCAAACAAAATATAATGGGCATGTTCCATAGCTTACAGATGCTACCTTACTGGGCTGCGCTGAGAGATTCCAAGCGCACTAAGAACAGCACTTGAAATGTTCTGAAGCTGTCTAGTTTGAAGTTTGTCTCTTCTGTAGTGTTTCTGTATTATCTTTCAGCAGATCAAGAAAGTAATCTCAGTTGTCCCTTGGGTGTCTAAATGCTCATTCTATGCTAACTTGTGCTCTTGACTTTATGAAAGAGCAGCAGGGGCATATCCACCTTCTGATCATAAGATAAATCTTGGCTTTTTGATGTAGGCATTAAAAAGTACACTTGTTTTGATGGCATGATAAGCTTGGGGCTATAATTATTAGATCTCATTGTGTTCAAATATTTTTGAGTTTATTTCTAGCAATAGTAAGTCAAGGTACCAGAAGTTCTTTACAGTATTTGTTTTCATGTAATATTTATAGCCTCAGGTTTCTGAAGAATAGTTACTGATGTTGTGCAGTTTAAAAGGTTTAAGCTCCGATTTTCACTATTGCTGCAAGCAGAAAACAATTTGGGTTTGTAACAATTAAGAACTTTTATTGTGGGATCCAGGGTGCGCTGGGTTGTGTGAGCTTGTAGGACAGCTAAGGTTGGAAATTATCTCAGGATGTCTCTGGTTCAACCTCCTCCTCAAAAAAGGGACAACTCTGAACTCAAGACCAGGTTGCTCGGGGCTTTATTGAGTTGGGGCTTGAAAACCTCCAAGGCTAGAGAATTCAGAGAGTCTCTGGGTAACCTTTTAGAAATGACACGTTTGATCTCTTTAAATGCGGTTTTGTGTCACCTGCATTGTGCAGTGTATGGTTTCTAGTACTTTTCAGAATGCTTTGATTCTGAGTTGTAGGATAAAATATGATTTTGTTCTGCTCTGCAACTTTACAGGTATAAAGATCGTTTTGTAATTAGAGTATTCTGCATCAAGGCAGAGCCTTTCTGTTGTAGGTTGCATTTGATCTGAGGATTCAGATTTTAAACTGAAAATGGCATAGTGATATTGCATAAGGATGTTGGGCTAACTTAATATTTGAGAGGCCCATTTAGATCTTTGGGCAGAAAATAACCAATGTGAGATGTATATGTTACAATCTTTCTTGATGTTCCTTTGAGAGAGACGTTGGCTTGTTTGGTAAGAACAGACAAATCTTTATGATTTACCAGTTATATTTGAAATGCTTTTCTTCTACCTCCAAAATTCAGGCAAATCATGGTCTAAATGGTTTTGTCACTGATCTGGTTTAGCTTATGTGCAGATGGTGGTGTTACATCTGAGAAGGTGGGATCAGGTAGCTTGGAAAGAAAAAAGATGGCAGCCTCTTATCCTGGCTATGCTGTCTGACATTGTAATAAATCACTATACTATTACAGGTCGTATTTTTGTTTGTTACGAGGTGGATGGTAAGGTAGGGTTGAATATGTATTTGGGATTATCCAGATGGAAGTCTATACATAGTCTTGCAGAAAAGGATTTTCTCCATGAGGGGTTTTTTCTTTACAAATTGGACAAGAGAATATCAGTCTCGGCATGCTAATTTCTGAATGTGCTGGTAATGAACTTCGTGTGCACACATAGTTTCATGCAACCATCTCTTCGTTTTGTGATTTCTATTTTGTGATTTGTCACCTTTATGCATCCTAATGCTTGCTTTAGATATGTACTAGTATTACACATAAATACATCCATTTAAAAATAGTACTGGTCTGTGGTTCTTACAGACTTACATTATACCTCTGTCTGAGTGTTTCCACCCAGAAAGCTTCCCTGTTTTTAACACAAAGCACTTTGGATTGCTGTGGTATTTGTTTAAGCATGGACAATTGCTTTGTCATATGAATGAAAAAATTGTTTCTCTCCAGTAGCTTAATTCTGGCATCTTCTGATGCATGTGAGCTGCCAAAGAATATGAGTTCGTATCAGTTGATGATTTTTGTTTGGTTGGCTTGGCTCTTTTTTTTTTTTTTATTATTTTTAATTTTATTTTTTTATTTGATTCTTGGGAGCACATTGGGAAAGATTGCTGAGAAAGAATTGCAGACAGAAATTTGAACTAGCTTCTGATTTTCTAACATGCAACTTTAAAGATCATTTCTGCTGTTCCTCACGGTCACTTATGAGCTATGTGATACCCTTCTATGGCGGTCACTGCAATAAATCAAGAATCAGAAAATAGCAGAGTGTTGAATTTTCCATTAAATATGAAGAATTGCCATGTTTTCATAACATGATATTTCAGACTGATAGAGAATATGGAGATGTGTGTGGTTTGGTGTGAGGGAAATGTTTTTATTATGCTTCTGCTGTTTATTGTTAGTTTCTAGTGATTCAGCTCATATGGTGTGTTTGTGGTCATACCATACTGTGGTGTTCTCTTATCAAATTGCAAGAGAGACATTGATGAGAGAACTGGACCTGGTCTCAGGAATTATTAAATTGGTCTTGTAGCTAAGACCTATTCCATATGAATGGGTAATTAGTACATGCTTATGGGTTCTTTTATTTTGTCCAAGATGGGAAGCTGAGCGTTGTTCAAATTCTGAACAGACAGAATTGGTATAGAACACAGGAATAATTAATACAGATCTGTTGCTTGCTAAATCAACACTGTTTTGTCAGCTTTTTGCTCTCTACTTCAAATAGGAATCTCTTACCTACCCCTAGCTCCCAAACAGGGTGGATTGCTTCATTGTACTTAGCTTTGTAGAAACACAAGACAGATCTTTCACTCAAAAGAGCTTGCCCCATCTAGTTAGCATAAAAGGATGGAAAAAATGGTACAACATACAGAAGGGTTTGGAAGCTGCGTACATGTTTTTTTTCTCAAGTTGGATTTTTTTTTTTTTTTTTTTTTTAATAGAGGCACAGAGCTAGGAAAGGATTGAGGTCATGGGGGGGAAACAAGATAGTTCAGATAGTAGTCTGCTTGGTCCAAGAGCTGTGAAGGTGTGAGAACTAGAAGGCTAGGACAACAGGTAAGATTGTTCATGGTTTGCTGACTTCTGTCCTTTTTAGTGTTTAGGAAATTCTCGTTGCCATACTGCAAGAAATCCTCTATGGTGGTAGCCTTTTATGACTCTGAACAGGTTCTTTGTGTTCCTATTGTGTATGAAGAACATTTCTACTGCTTTAGGAAGGGAGAAGAGATACATAAATAACCGAAGTCAGTTAGCGTTGTACTGTATTTGAGCTTCTTAAAGGAACATTGCAGTATAGGAGATAACAAGTAACAAACTGGATAGAGGACAGTCCTGAGAAAAGTACTGTAATCATGTCTAGTTTTCCAGTATATTAATTGAAGCTGTCAGGTTTCACTCCAAGATATGAAAAGCCAGAAAATCAAATGCTATTGCTTTATTCAGGAGATTTATGTTTGTTTTTTTTTTTTTTTTTGAAAGGCAAGATCTGTTTGTTCTTAGAAGCTGATGTTTTAATAATTTCTTATAATCTGTAATACTTAATTTTATAATGACCAAAATGTCATTTGTGCGCACTTGTATAATTTCTGTACACTTTTATCTAGCATTGAATCTTGAATATAATCAGGTAATTAATTCACCTGAATGTTTTGACCAAAAAGCTTCCAGGAAGTAACGTAACCAGTGGAAGACTGATTTGCCAGTGAAACTAGTGATAAAAAAAGTTCTGCATGTAAACCAGAACGTTGGGGTGTTGAATGTAGGCTAATTAAAATGTTTTCTCATTGTCTTGAGCATCTGTGCATTTGAGTAAATAAAATCCTTCCTCCTTTCCTAAAAACTCCTTTGCATTAAATTGAGCTATTGGGAAATTTTTCTCAAAAATTAAAGGGGTGTCTGTACAGACTTCCTCAGAAGAGTGGGGCAAGAGTTTCCCTGCTGTATAAAATTAAACTTATAAAAGCTTATACTTGGACCAGATGAGATTTTCTGTACACCTCAGGAGACTGCATTTATTCCTTAACTTCTTTTCCTTCTCTTTTTATGTGCAGCAGGGCTGAGGTTAAGACTAAGCCATTTATCACGGCTTCAATCTTCTCTTGTGTTATATATAGCAAAGAAAACTTGTGGCTTGTTAAAGCTTAAAAATTTTTCAGTCTGTTTTTGATCTGTAGATGTTAACAAGTTAACAAGTTAAAATGCAATGCCTTTACTCAAAATGCATCTTTTTTTAATACGTATTTTAAAAAGTTAATAGATTGTACTAAACCAAAATATTTCTTTATACATAGAACTAAGCCTAGTACCTAGCTACAAATTCCTATGCCACAACAAAACCAGTAATTTAAGACTAAAACAGTGTGTCCTAGGAGGACATCATCTCCCTAGGAGGGACGTAACAGAAGAGTGCTTGGTCCATATCTGTCAAATGTAATGGTGGCAGTATCTTGCTGTATCTTTTTCTTCCTCGCTTTATGACTATCTTTACTTTCTTAAATTCAATTCTTAAGAGGGGATGAGCAGTTCAGTCTTGAAGACACTGTAATTTCTTCCTGAGTATTTGCGTCATTTTCTCTGAACTAAAACTAAACCTGTTTAATAATCTGGAATTAGAGCCCTTTCCTTTCATGCTTAATTTGGGGACTGGTATGTAATTTTGCTTATTTATCAACCAAGACAAAAGTTGCCTCCTAACAATGGTTTCTTCATAGCCCCTGTGCCTGCAGAACAGTAAGGGTAAAAGTAGTTTGTTTTATAAATCTTTTTTCTCAATTGACCCAGTCTATCTAAATCTGTATATTTCCAGTGATGACAAACCTTTGACTTACCCACCTGAGCAAGATATTAAAATAACTCTTCAGATGTGCTAGGCCTTCCAAACCAATGAGTTGATTGTTGCTGTGCTATTTGCATTTTGTGCCAAAAATGTCCTCACCAGTGTGTTTTGATTCTTGTACTTTCATGGTGCTGTACTGGCATCGCATAAAAATACAGAATTGTAAACTCACCGACCCTTCAATAAAAAGTGTTTTCTTTAAATGGGTTTTCCAGAAACATTTTGAAAAAATTAAGTTGAGAAGGATGATAGCTAATGTTGTCTCTTCTTAAATCTGTCGCAGAACTACTGCAATTGTTTTGTAAATTGAGCATTAGAAAGATGGATACAAAACCTCAGATTTCTTTCCCATACAGTAATGTTACTTCCAGTGGCATTGAAAATGCTTCCTTACTCTTTCTCATTCTTGCCATGAGCAAATGATGGAAAACATATTTTGCCAAAGTTGTTCAGCTTTGTGGAACTGAATGGAACTGTTTTCTGTGCTCAGATAAAAACACTGTGAGCTGTTGGAATTAGATGAACAGCAATATTAAAGTCACTATCAAGTAAACTTTGTTGTATAGAATATCTGGTTAATATGCATCATTTATCAGTGTTGCTTAGTTAAGATCTTATTTATGTACATATTGTTAATATGTTACACGTTCTCATCAATAGTAGAACAGCATACACATCTGTCTGCATGCATTTGTGATCTTTGTAATACAATTTGGTACGGAAAGTTAAATGCTATATTAAATGTAATTTAAAAAAATTAAACATCATTCAATGCTGTTTCTCTTTAACTGCAGACCCTGCTACATGGAAAAATCCAAGACACCTTTCTAAAGGTTGCCTTTATCCACTTGCTTTTTCTCCCTACGCATAAAGTGCATGCTTATATACACTAAACCACATACATTTCATGCCACTGTTGTTGATTACACTTTTACTTTCACACTTTGGCTAGTGTTGATTATTTTGCTGAGTCTTGTGATCTGGTTGATTTTTAATTTTCCAACCGTGCTGCATTAGAATGAGATGATTTTTGCTTTTCTTTCTGTGCCATTGCTGCTTCATAGAATTTCCTGTACTTTTAATTCCCAAATCCTTTAAAAAAAATGACTATTGATCAGTATCTTGAAATACAATTTGAGCGGGGAAAAAAAAAAAAACAACAACAAAACAAAACAACAAAAAAATGTTTTGAAAGATGGCTTGATTGTAGGTAAGCAGTGTGTTTGCCAAATGGCCAGATTTCTTGTAGACTATTCTTCTAGAGCAGATTGCTGTATTGGGGAGCAGAGGCGAAGTGACCACATACTAAAAATTTGGATGGAACTTATCACTACTATTTGGAAACCTAGTTGTGGAAGTGTGAGTATCTCACAGTGTGACTCAAACAGCTGCCTGCGCTAGGAAGCAGGAACTGACAAAACCTCCATTGTTGTTTCTGGGACTGCTCTTGAATAGCCCCGAAGTAATTCCCGACATCAGTGGTGACTGACAAGAGTTAAGATGTTTGGTCCTTGACAGATTTGGGAAGAGACATGTTCTCCTCAGAACTCATTGTTACGCAAAATTCTTATGTATTTTCTGTTTGCTTGGTTTTGGTTCTACAGGTTTTCCTAACGTTTTCTTTCAGCTGTGATTTGATCTCACTTGCATGGTAAAATAAATGATGCTAAAAGCTGGTATTTTTTCAGGTTTAAGCTATTGCAAATAATTCGTTTGTTTTCTGTTGCAAGCTGAAAATGGTAGGATAGCTGATTGGCTCAGTCACATATAGGAAGTTGGACCTTGTGTAAGAGAGGGACAAATTAGATTAATGAAATGCAGTGTTTAAATAAGCAGAATTCATAAATGTGTTTGTACATAGAAAGCAGACTAATTTTTCTTTTGCTGCTGGGGGGAAAAAAAAAATCACATGGTAGTCTTCAACAAACAGGCTCTTGGAAAAATGTTATTGAAACATCTGTTTCCTCTTCCTCATGTATCAATTCCTTATTTTCAGAGATAGATGCTGAAGAGTGGGGTAAATTTCTTCACACCAAAAATAAGGTATGTTTAATCTGATGATGGAGTAGCAGTGTCATAAATAGGCTATCATCTGTATACATACATATATGCTATGTAATATATACGAGATATATATATATATATATGTAGTTTATCTTTTCCTTTGACTTTCCCAAAAAGGAGATTATTCTGCTTGCTATACTATATGCCAGAGTATTGAGGATTTTCTCTTTTGCTTTTTATGAGTAGAAAACTTCAGAAAACATTCTTCTAAACTCAAGACAGAAAGTTTATGAATAGTTGTCTGTTGTGTGGGTGACTGCTGAGTTATTTATCTTCATTGGTTTTGGATTATTTTGTTGATTTTTCTTTTTTGTGCATTGGCGAAATTAGAATGGACGTTGTGATTATCTACTTCCTTGTCTTTACAACTTGTTTCAGTCCACTGAAGAATTGGCTACTTCAGAGATTTATTAGAAAGCTGTGAAAAGGAAGGAAGAGCCTAATGTGCATCAGGGGGGAGAAGCAGAAACTGAGGTGACTTAGGACCTCAATGAGAGAGTCAAAACATAATTCTTTGCTTGAAGAAAGTAATCTTTTTGTTGGCAGATGAATGATTTAAGAGTTTATTACTTTAATTTCTTCGCCCTCTAGGCAGTGCTAGAAATTGAAGGAAATATAAAGAGGAATGCAGAGGGAACCTGTGTGAGGTTAGCTCTGTGTTAACTTATTTTGGATTGGTGGAAGGAGAATAGTTTTCACGAGAGTGGAAAAATTTTGAGGTGAAACTCTGTCCATGTTGTGTCCTCTTCGAGATGAGAAGAGGTTCAGACTACACGTTGTTTATTAACTTAAAAGGATTGCAGCTAGTTTAGAATGGAATTAAGTATTTGAAATTCTCTTTAGGTGAACACTATTTTATAACTTGTCTGACTTTGATGGGGTAATAAATGCTAATAACTGCCATCTCACAGTATTAATCAACAGATTAAATACTAACATTCCAATTTCTGCAATTTTTAGCTCTGATGATTGCTGTTAGCTTTAATTTAAGGGCTAATAGTAATTTTTACTTACCTTCTGTATACTTAGTCACAGAATTTTTCATTGTCTTTTGGCAAAGAGTGCATTATTTTGCAGTTATGTAAGTGGATGCTGTCTTTGCTTTTTAAACAATTTTTTTCTTCCGTACTTTAGATCTATACAGATTTTGATGAAATTCGTCAGGAAATAGAAAATGAAACAGAGAGGATTTCAGGAAATAACAAGGTAAATGTTGCACTGTCCATTTTCGTCTTACTATAGATTCTTGCTGCTTAAACCTTTCTGAAACAGTTTTGGTCACCAGAAGTAAAAAGGATTGAACTATGCTAATGAAGAACACAGTAATGTTGGTTGCTGATTGTTGATTTTTTCACTGTATTCATGAGATGAATAACTTCAGCTAAAAGAAAACGCAGGGAATTGCTGTCGCTTTACTTCAAAGCTTCCATAATAAAAGTGCAAAAAATAAATTTCATATTAAACATGCTTCCATTTTTCCACATATGTGGTTTTATGTGTAATTATAAAATTGAGTATTCTATTCTTGCATATTTATATAATTACTGATATACAAAAGCATTTATGAATTATACTGAGGGGGAAAACAGGGCTGCTTCCAAAACCAAAGGAATTGCTTGACAGGTGTGGCTGGCTTTTTTTCCTCATGACATAGTCATAAGGTGTATGATGGAAGAATGTTTGTCTAGTATGAGACTACAGCTTTTGGCTTTCCCAAGGGTGCATTTAAATAATCCAGTGCAGTGATTAATTTTTATTATGAATATATTTCTAGGGGATCAGTCCTGAACCTATTCATCTTAAGATTTTTTCATCTAATGTTGTAAATCTGACTCTTGTGGATTTACCTGGAATGACAAAGGTAAGATGCAGAGTGCTTCTCTTCTGACCTGTTGTGAACGGTGTATTCTGAAACAAGGAGTGTATATTCACTCTTTGGCATTATTCTGTATTGTTAGATAAACAGCTTTTGTCAGGTTAAGTAGTTATATAAATTTGAGATGTCACTACCTTCTAGTGTAAGATTTGGGTTTCTGGTGCTCTTTACTGTTGTATATAGAAAGAGAAAGAACTCCAGCAAATCTACTTACAACAGAAGGATTGGAAGCGTTGTGTGGGCTGCATGTTCTTTTTAATAGAAGAGGTAGCACTCAAAGTTTCAAAGTTGTGCCTGTGGATAAATGGGTAGTTGACAAATTTGAAAATGTTTTCCCCATTGATTCTCCAGAAGTTCCTATCTGTATTTTGCGTAAAGAGTTGTATAAAGTGAGGCTAGACTAGAAGAAATGTTCGGGTCCTGTTTGTTCAGGTTTTCTACTGAATAACTTTCTGCTGCACAAAGATGACAAGATGACTTCTTTCCCTGACTATGTGCATATTTGCACCCCACTCTGCCAGTTGTGCAGGTGGTTCTTGGATACCAAATCCTGACAACAGTATCAAATAATTTGAATTTATTCTCATTTCTATAAGGGAGTGATTGTGATCTTCATACCTTTCAAGGTCTTCCTTTTTTTTTTTCCTGTTTGTTTGTGAAGGGGGGGCTAGAAAGCTTTATCTTATACCATGGTATTAGGGTATGAACTTGCAATGAGTGGTCTCCTACAGGCATAAATATACAATTTTGAACAGTTCTGTGTTGTTTTTTCTCTAGGTGCCTGTTGGTGATCAGCCTAAGGACATTGAACTTCAAATAAGAGAGCTAATCCTTCAATTCATCAGCAATCCAAATTCAATTATTCTGGCAGTCACAGCTGCTAACACAGACATGGCCACTTCAGAAGCACTTAAAATTGCACGGGAGGTGGATCCAGATGGTAAGCAGCAAGAAAAACTGGATCCTGTAATTCAACTTATTTTTTAAATAAAATCCTAAAATAAAGCTGAAGTTGTTTGGGCAAAAAGTAGTAAGAAAAACAAATGTCACTGCATTTTCTAGAAAAAAACAATTATAGCTGCTTAAGGACTTCCTGCTGCAGTCTCTGCAACTCGGAGAACACTGTGATGAACTAGTATCTAGTGGATTTCTAGCTTACAAACAGGCCAGATAACTATTTCAGTAGTCATAGGAGCCACTTCTGTTTCTAGAACAGCAAAATGGCCTTACAGAACGTTGGGGGTTTGGGGATTTTTAGTAGTTTACAGTGGTCTGTTAGGATGGCTTCATGCTTTATTGTCTGGTATTGTTTCTTTTATTAGAGGAAATATGGCATCCTGCAGATACTGACTGTCTAGCGATTAGTTTAGTGACTTTTAGTAAGAATAAAATAAATACATATTGTCAATCACCGTTTTGGTGCCCTGCGTTTATGTGACACAACTGACTGATTTGATCTAAAAAGAGAATTACCATCTTTTATTTACCTCATGACTTTGAAACTGATCTGAAGCTACTGGGTGCCTGCTTCTTGTTTATGGAAAGTGTTACCAGTACCATTGACTAATAGACTGCACTGTGTAAATTGAAAGAATATGGAAGAATATACCTGGAAAATAGGCATACTGAAATTAGCCTAAAATTCAGTGTTGGTACGCTTTACGCTCAAATATTTCTTCCCGCAAAATGTAACTTTTTGTGATTTTTGTTTTTTTCAAACTCCAAGTCTGCTTTGGCCTGTCTTCTTAATCCTTTATGGGTTGCACAGCCACATAACCTTGAGGGAGATCCTCTTCTGGCAGACTTCTCAGTCAAATTGTCCTGGTTCAAGACAGCAGACCCTTTCCTTTTAGTTTACCGCTGTAAAAATGATCAGCTGTGACTTTTGGACCACTTCCCAGAATTCAAACCTTAAAGGTCTGGAGTGGCAGCTCATGTTACAGGTTCTGTAGGAATAACGGTATGTAATGAGAACTTGAAGTACTAGAGTAGGTAGACTTTCTGACTTAGATTTACCTGAAAGTTTCAGCACCCAAGAACCTACCGATTTCACTGAGGCACTCATTTTTAGACTCAAAAAATGTGTTATGTTTTAAAGAAAATGTTTTGTCACGTTTTCAGATGCAAGAGCCTGGGAAATATTAAGGTCCCAGACAAATCCTGTGCGTGCTATCCTACCTGTTTAGTTGTGTAATATTTACCTATTTAATGAATTTAGGTCACTTTTCCTCCAAGTGTCCAATATGAAGCTTAGTTTTAATTCAGAAAACATTCAGTCACATATTCAATAAAAAAATTATTATTAGCAAAATTAAATCAGTAAAATTAAATCCCCTAAGGCTTCTTCAGTTGGATGGATTTCAAGCTATTCAGTCTCTTGGGGGATTTCAGCTATGTAGTGGATGCACTATGCTGGATGTCAGCCTGTTGCCTCCTTTGGGAGCTTCTCCAGTGGGCAGTGGTATTTCAAATAGTTTCAAACAGATTGCCATTGTGTCTGATTCTACATATATTCTAGAAATATGTTCAGTCTACTCACACTTGAAATTCCCTTGCCCGCCTTACTTAGTCTTCTCCACAAGTGCTCAGTAGTGCCTCTATGTTTGTTGTAATCAGTAATGACTATAATTTCAAACTGCATGGAGCCTAAACCTTTTTTGTAAGCATATCTGTGTGTGGAGCAGTAACTGCCAAATATTTCCTTATACTCCTGTTAATAAGGGGCTCCAGATAGACTAATACCGCATGTTCTTGCACTTGTCTTTGCTGGTTTGCAGATTTAGACTTCATGCAGCTGTCTGAGGAACTCTTTGATGAGTTTTAGCTACCCCAATCAAAACAAAACACCCCTGTGAGTGAGTTTTCCTTTTGGTAGGTCGAAGAACCCTTGCTGTTATCACAAAGTTGGATCTCATGGATGCTGGCACTGATGCTATGGACGTGCTCATGGGGAGAGTGATTCCAGTCAAACTTGGCATCATTGGCGTAGTGAACAGGTCTGTCTGTCTGACTGGGGCAGGTTAATGCTATTTTTAAAACTGTGTTAATATGAAGTAATGCTTTTGACTTTTTTAAACTGTGAATATGGTTTTAAGGTGACTTGATGTTGAAATAAACTTCTGAATAAGCAAGTGAGAAGGTTGCTGCTCCCTTTTCAAAAGCCTGTCTTGTATTTCTTCCACTCAACCAAATGCTAATTTAGAAAGGAGTAGGGACACTTCTGAAAGAACTGTAGTGTCACTTACTTCTGCTCCTGTTTTTTAGCTTAAGGGATGATTCTGGTCAGCTGTTCACATTAGCACTGATCCAGTACTGATCTTGTATGTATGTGTGCTAACTGCATATGGCTATAGTACTGTTCACTTTATTTTTCGCATTAGCTAGGTCAAGCCTCATGTAGTTTTGATAAAAGCGTTGCTTGGTCAGCGTACAGCTGCTACCCTTACTGATTTGTTGACTATGCTGCATAGAACAACAAATCAAGCCCTTTATTATCTAAGGAAGATGAATTAGGCGTGTAAAGCAAAACCCAGATGTTAGATATCCTGTCAGAAAAGCAGAGGTGTACATCATTTTCACTTTGCATCTCTTAACTAGTGTGTATCTCTGCCTTTTAACTGCAGGAGTCAGTTGGATATTAACAATAAGAAGAGTGTAGCTGATTCCATTCGTGATGAGTATGGTTTTCTTCAAAAGAAGTATCCTTCCCTAGCCAATCGAAATGGAACCAAGTATCTTGCTAGAACACTGAACAGGTATTGCGTATTATGTAAAATAAAATAAACGTGTACTTTTAACAATCCTTTAAGGTATAATTTGATGTGTTAGAAGTATGTGTAAAAAATTTATTTTTACTTTTCCTTTCTCTTCTGCTGCTGTACAGTGATATATTAAGGAAAGCTCTGTTTGGTTCCAAATTCAGTTCCTGAGTTTACTGTAATTTTCCTGAGTAAATATTTTCCTTTAGTGATTATTTTCTGTCTCTCCTCAGTTTTGATGGAGATGATAAAGCTGAAACTTTCTCCCTTCTAACGAGGGACTGTTTTCTATTTTTAGACTACTGATGCATCATATCAGGGATTGCTTGCCAGAACTGAAAACCAGAATCAATGTTTTAGCTGCTCAGTACCAGTCTCTACTAAACAGCTATGGTGAACCTGTTGAGGACAAAAGTGCCACTTTATTGCAGCTTATTACCAAATTTGCCACAGAATATTGTAACACTATTGAAGGAACAGCAAAATACATAGAGACTTCGGAGCTGTAAGTACCGAATGGTTTTCTAGAATATTGACTGAGTAGTCAGATCAACCCAGTGGCTCTTGCTGGTTTTCATTTGCAATAGAGCTACACTAGAGCATAACATACTCAGAAATGTCTGAATCCAAGTAACTGTAAAAAATGTTTGCAATGAGAGCTTTTTCTTCTTGTTTGCTACTTCAGTTGTTATTTTACTCTTTCAGATGCGGTGGAGCCAGAATCTGTTATATTTTTCATGAGACCTTTGGAAGAACTTTAGAATCTGTTGACCCGCTGGGTGGCCTTAACACAATTGATATTCTGACTGCCATTAGAAATGCTACTGTGAGTGTTGTTCTCTATTTGTAAATGTTGTTGCTGTATATTGGATTTGAAGATAAGGTTTCAACATACTTGTGCTCCTTCAGTCCTGTGAATTAATGATCTCAGCTGAATGAGTTCGTATGAAGAAGCTGAATCCTGCTTTTTGGTATTTTAAGTGGAAAAATTACAATACCCAAATTTGCAGCCATTATCCCATATGGAATGAGTTTAAGGTGAATGCTTACATCTCATTACTGTTTTTTAAAGGCCGAAATAAAGCTCAGGCCCAGCTTTGGCAACCCTGTGCTGAAGCTATTATATATTGCAGAAATGGTGATGGAAGACTGCTTCTGCATTTGTTTTTTATTAAGCACTTCTCTTAGTTATGAAGACTCAGTCTGAGATGTATGTGCTGGAACACATTCAGATATTTTAATTATATATAAGGGACGTAACTTTTCAGTGGTTCAGTATGTGACAGATTTGCTTTCTTGTGAATACGGGAATTGGTGTTGCTAAGAATTAACAGAGTAAGTTCACTGTTAAATTTTGCAGTCTATAGAATGTTCACTCCTTAGAGCTTGACTTTGGATGTCAAACACGTAAGTCTGCTTCTGCTCTGTTGGGTGTGGGCAGTCAGGTTTCTGCATGGCCAGCGATTCCTCAAACTTGGAGTACTCTGCAGAAATGATCTGTGTGCATGCTCTTATCCTTCTGTAAATGTAAAATGTGAAGCAGCATTTAGTAACAGAAGAGATGTCTTGGTTTTCTATTACGTATCACATCTTTGTGTTTCTACAGCTCATTTAATTAAAAAAAAAAAAAAACAAAACAACTTTCAGGTAAAACATGTTTTATTATAGCTAAGCATTGGTCTGTGTGGTCATAAATGAAATTATCCCTCACACTGTAAATCAGTGACACTGTATTATGGTTATACTTAACAGAAAACCCACCTGTCTTGCAGTAAGAATTGTATGCCCAGGACTGTCAAATAAATAATGGTGGATTTTCCCTCTGAAGTTAGGAAGAGAATGTCTTTGTATTTATAATAAATTTAATTTAAGCTTAGATCCACAAATGTGAAAAGAATTGCTCATAGTTGTAAGCCTAGAGTGACATTAGTAGGCAGAAATCTTCAGGATTCTATAAGGATACTAGTTAATCATTATTTAACACAAAGTTTGTCTTAAAGGTAGTAACTTTATATTTTATAGCTTTTATATTTAAATATTCTTGTAACATATGTTAAGATCTGTTCTGAGTGTTCTTTTGGGTGCGAGCACTGTGACCTGATTTATTCTGGGTTTCATCAGATACTACTTTGTAGAAATGCATATTGGTTTAATACACAGTTTAGCAGCTTTTCCCCTCCTTTTGACCTAGGGTCCTCGTCCTGCCTTGTTTGTTCCTGAAGTTTCATTTGAATTGCTGGTAAAAAGGCAAATCAAACGTTTAGAAGAACCTAGCTTACGCTGTGTGGAGCTGGTTCATGAAGAAATGCAGAGGATTATACAGCATTGTAGTAATTACAGTACACAGGTAAAAATGCATGGTTTAGAATTATATTTGTAATGTCTGTGTCCACACCCCCCAAAAAATTAAAATAAAATGAAATAAATTATTGAAGTCTCATTCGTCATTTTTTGTTTGTTTGTTTTTAGGAATTATTGAGGTTTCCTAAATTGCACGATGCCATAGTTGAAGTAGTAACCTGTCTTCTGCGTAGAAGACTTCCTGTCACAAATGAAATGGTAATCTTCCATCTACTGCAGTTCTCCTGGAGAAAATGTGTGTTTTCTGGAGCCTTTCTTGATGCTTCAGTTTGCTCTGTAATATCGGGAAATTCCTTATTAAAAGAATCTTAACTTATATTTGTTAAATAGCTAGGTATTTCATATCTACACAGTTTGAAACTTCTTCTGTATTAGAAGATAGATACGTAAAAAACGAAGGGGTGAGGGGAACCCTCTTCAGCTTCTTGTCCCTTATTTTTCAATGTCCCTAGAAGAATTTTACTAAAACTTGGATTTCACCTCTCCTAATCTTTCTAATATAAGTATATTTCCCTCTCTTGTAACAGAAGCTGTGCATTTACTGTGAAGTTTGGGATGCAGTGATGAAAACTAAATTATAGTCCTTATTCTGTGTGTTTCAGAGATAAAAACTAACCCAAAATGTTGATTTTGCTTGTGATGCCCTTTAGCTAATGAGAACTAAAAATTCAACTTGTAGCTTTGAGTAAATATGTTTCAATATAAAAGTCTGCTTGGGGTTGTTTACTGGGGAGGAAAGCGTTTCCGTTATTGATTCTGCGTATGCTTGATGTGAAAAGCAAAAATTGTTCTGTATGCTCCCTGTCCCCCATAGTGAGCCATCTCTTACTGGTTCAGATGTTGTAGGTGGCTTCGGGCTGATGGTTGGCTATACAGCTCGCTTCGTTGCTATATAGCTTACACACATTCAGTTGCTCAGTTTTGTTTGTTTATTGCTAGAGAGAGGTTAGAGAAGCCAAGGAGTTAAGCTGATCTAACACCCAAAACGGCTGAAGGTCTGAATGTATTGCAATGAATGAATGAATTCCTTTCTTGCCTTCTGGATCGGAATTTTAATGTTTTGGGGTCAGTGAGAACGGTCTTTTGCCATGGACGGTTAGACTATGTTTTCTAGCATTGTAGGTCATTGCTCTTCGTGAGCATTGGATTTACTCACTGAATTTCTGAACTGTGAATGACATTGCATTGCAGGTTCATAATCTAGTGGCCATTGAGTTAGCTTATATCAATACCAAACATCCAGACTTTGCTGATGCCTGTGGTTTAATGAATAACAACATAGAGGTAAGAAAATACATTCTCTTAAAAAGTCTTTTGACTCCTTTAAGTGAGAGCCTAAATAACTGGTAAAAGAACAAATGCTTCAATTTCTTTCACTGAAGCACAGTTCTACATTTTGAAGTATGTAAATGTGATATATTACAAATATGGTGTATGCTCTTACATTGTGATCTGTTAGGTTTATATTGCACGTAACATTCAGGAACAGTGGTTAACACTTCACTGAAAACAATTCTGCCTCTATTTCTGTCTGGAAAATGAGATGGGCACCTAACTGAGTATTGGCTATTAAATTAGATTTTTGGGAGAAAAACTTGAAGTAGATAGTTGTGAAGTACTCGCTGATGTTGAAGTAACTGCATTTTGTCTCTGACAGAATGTGTCAATAGCTATAATGTTCCTCTCATTCATTAAAGGATAATACAAGTATTGTTTCCTGTGTTCAGGTTCTAATTTCTGCTTCTTTTCAGCATTGTTCTTGCATCTTTGTGTTACCATACTTCAGTCCTCCCTAAGACAGTTTCCTCCATCATTCTCCCATAAGGCTTTTACAATTTCGGTAGTCTTGCTGTTTTTCAAGCCCAGCTTTGGTTGATAATACTTGTTGCTGTCATCATCCTGTGGAAGCAGTTAGTTGTCCTACAACTGATCTGTTCAATTCCTTCTTGCAGTCTGGTTTTGTTGCAGTACTTCACTCATCGGGCTAAGAGCTCACTATTATTCTTGTTTCCCTGCTTATCCAACATGTTCTTTCATAGCAGTGGTTTTTTTTTTTTTTTAAATGCTTATGTTACCATTTCTGCTCTTTAGTTCTAACTCTTACTTTCTTCTGTACATAAATTTTGTATTGACTGGGTATGCAGTTGAATTTGCCTCGGTAGACTGTTCTTGAACCTAGTTCAAAAACAAAAAAAAGTGTGTGAAAAATGCCATGAGTACAGAAATCAGGACTTTGTGAAGTTGTAAATATGAGATCATTGTATTATCGTGTGTTACTTACTTCAACTACTTCTTTCCAACATTCTCCTGAACAGGACATTGAAGTTTTTGAAGAGACAAAGCACGTAAAACATCTTATCCTTATTCAGTGGACAATCAATTTTTAATTTCAAGAAAAATCAGATCTTTGTTTGGCCTGATTGCTTCAAATTCTTTTTTGCAATAAAGTGAATTCTGCCACCTCCTCCTTCCTTTTGGGCTAATCATAGTTAACCCTGCTGGCCACAGAATCAAATCCTTTTAGATTACTTTGAAGATTTAAAGCTTTATGAGGGCTGTAGGGCATGTATGCTGAGCCAAACTGTGTGGCTTTGATCGTGGTTTTTAAAGGCGCTCTGCATTATGGAGTGTGTTGCAACAAGTTTTGCAAAACTTTTTATGTTGAGAATTTACTTTTGACCAAAGATTTTCATAGGATCATAGTATGACTAAGTGACACTGGATGAGATTAAATTACTAGTGTTTGTCTCTAAAATGTAAGTCATCTGTAAAATATGAATCTTGCATATGTGTTGATGTGGGGTAATATGTAATTGAGGTCTTGCTGGGTTGTTTTTAAAGGAACAAAGACGTAACAGGTTAGCTCGGGAATTGCCTTCTGCTGTGTCACGAGACAAGGTAAGTAAATGTTGATTTTTATTTATTTATTGAAAGTTTAATGCGTTCTCCTTTGATCCAGTCTAAGTATTGGAAACTTTGATATGCTGCCCTAGTAACAGTCTTGGGAGCTTCCAGGTATTGACCTTTTTCTTTCAGTTTCATGAGAGAGAAGTGGAATGTTGTTTTCTTCTTCCAAAGATGCAGTTTTTGGCTGGTTTTAAACCTGGGATTTCTGAAGACTTGACTATAAGTTAACATTAATATTACATTTATTACTTGACTGTCATCTGAGGTAAGGCTTAAAATGCCTGTAGTTGTTAAAGACGGAGTTGGAATTTACATACTTAAATTGATGGCTGGGACACACTGATTTAAAAAGATAAACAACTGATTTAAAATACTCAGTGTGCCAACACAGTGACTGGGTGGTTGGTTTTGGTTGGTTTGGTTTGGTTTTCTTTTTTTGTCACTCTTATAACTGCAATTCATTGCAGTCTTGCTTTTTTTGGGAGATGAGATGGTGGAGGTGGTGATGTCAGTTGATCATCATCATCCAGTCATGTATTCTGTCTCTGGAGCTTGCTTAGTTTTACCAGGTTTTGGGATTAGTTCAATGACAAGTACATGGATGGAAGAACCAAGTGTCATGGAAAACATTGCCTGGCTGTAGAAATGAACGGTCTGACGATCAGCTGCAATGTTAGACAGTTAGGTACTTAATATTTTGTGAAGTATTTAGAATCCAAATACACAGAATATAGTTTAAGCTCCTCACAGGTTGTAACGGGAGTTACTACAGCTGATGGAAATTGGTTCATTAAGTTTGTTAGCTTAAAAAGTGAGACAAAGTCCCGGAATGAGTCTAATATTACTGCCTTTAATCAGTAGAAGTCAGCTGATGGATGAACCGGGAATTTAAGGTAGCTATCTAGAGAATGCTTTCAGTGCCCTTTGATCCTTCTCTTTATTGACATCATATTTATATTGACAGTGTAGGAACTGAAATGAAATTGCAGGCCAGATGAGCCAAAAGTCTCTTAATTGTCTTGGAGAGGTTTTGGGGTTTTATTTATTTTTTTTTCTGCTTACATTACCGTTTCGCTTGCAAACTCAAAATACTTTATTTTCTGGATTTTTAAAGATGCTAGTAGGTAAAAGTGTGTGAAATTTGCTAGGTAGATTTGGTGGTCTTCAGTTGAAATTTTTTTTTTTTTTCCCTCCCTGCATTTTTTTACCTTCCTTAGTCTACTAAAGCTCCTGGTGCATTGACACCTGCTTCCCAGGAGACTGTTACTGCTGCTTCTGCTGAGGCTGATGGCAAGGTCTGTCTTGATTTTTCCTATAAGCACTGCATGCACATTTCTGTTGTGGTGCACCGCAGATAGTACGGAAAGCAGTTTGTATTTAGTGTTCTGTCACTGACACAGTATGCCCTATGGAGTATAGACTGCTTGGCATTACTGATTTTAGTATGGGCAGTGGCAGGTAAAGATGTGCCAGTAGGTGGAAAATTCACTGCTTTCTGTTCGAACGCATGGTTGCCATATATTGTGCTGCAAGTATGCAGCATAATTTGTCTTAAATTGTAGTCAGTAGGTTGTTTGGTGCAACAGTATTGTAATCAAAAGTGTTCAGCATGGTTGTTAAACTGCATGTTTTTAATGTGTTGACAGTTAAAGAAGGAGGACAGAAGATAAGCTAAAAATGTGAGTTTCCTGCTTCCTGCAGGGAATCTTTTTAGGCTTAGTTCAAACTGAACCTCCTTTTTGTTGTTTCACATAATCATTCAATCTCTGGTTTACTTATATTTGTGAAATGTGTTCTGCAGTGGTTTTTTACACTTAAGGTGTGCTGTCTCTCTTGTAAAAATAACACCTCGTTACTGTAAAGACTTCTTTGCTAATTGCTTTCACTTGGAGTCAGAGAAGATGGGTAGTCCCAAATCTGTGTGTTAGGGGTACCAAGAGGACTCGGGCTTTCTGCTTCATTGCAAGTGCACATTCAGCTTCTAGTGTGAAGCTGACTCTTCTGTCCTGAACAAAGTAGTTAAAGTCAAAATCTAGTCAGTAGTGGAATTTAAACTATTATATTCATTAGTTTTGGAGGTTCTGATATGCTGCAAACATTAAAAAAACCCAAGAGCTACTCTGAGGATACTATTGTGATTTAAGAAGTTGCAGGAAGCTGCCAAATTGGTTTAATCTGTTTTTCCAACAAAACCTGCCCTTTATTAGCTGGTACATACTCAACACTTTTTCTTGTGCAAGAATGGAGTTTTGCTTTTGAAACTACTTTGGAGATAGAGAAGGCTCCGCAGTAATACTGAATAAGAGTGGCACAGGAGTTTTGCCATTTTGAATAGCTGCCTTGAAATTAGAAGTAATGTAATGGAGCTTCCTCATCAGTGGTTCTCTTATTAGCAGAGGTTGATTTGAATTCTTATACTGTATTTTTTACAGCGCCTCTGAACAGTTGTGCAGTTTGAATAAAATTTCCGATGTGCACAGTTTAGCTGGGTTTCCTCCTGGTATGCAACTGCTGGTATTCTATTCATGGCAAATAGAATTTTTCTCACTCTTTTTTAAGACTCAGGATCAGCCTGTGATATTTTAATTCTAAACACAATAGATAAATTTAACTTATTTCCTCCTATATCTGAAACAAGACATTAGTAGTAGTAGTGGTTCAGGGCCTTGAATGACCTTGAATATTCTTCAAACAGCGATAGATTTTAAAGCACAGTAGTAACTAGAGCAGATATTAGGCTTATGGAAAGGTACAAAATAAAAATTACCACTGTTCCACATCAGAATAAACTGAGGGGTTTTTTAATACTAATTTAATGTGGTGGGTACCATCTGCTAATACTTCTTTTGTCCAGTGATTCCTGATGTTTAAGAGTTGGGTGTTAGGTCCTTTTCTCAGGAGATCAGTGGGTCACTATTTGTCTGGAACTTCCCAGAAACTCTGATCTTTGCTTCCAGAGGATGGAGATTTTTATTGTTTGATTTGGTACAAAAAAAGCCTTCTGTAAACTGAGGTCTGGCAGCACAAATACATTTGTAGCAGTGGTACCCAGAAACAGAGATGCATATTTTTTACCTGTTATTGTAAGAAACTTCTAGTTCATATTTAAATAAAATACCAAAGAATTTAAGTTCAAGTCTTCAAAGAGCTGTCGTGATCTTCAAAACATACTTTCAGAGTGAGCCGGATAGTACAGGTTGTATTGTTCCAGGGATGTATGGTAAAACGAGTGATTTAGGAAGAACATTCCTTACTTTGGAAGCGATTTGTAGACCCTTAAAACACTGGGGAGCCTCTCTGTGAGGCATTTTCATAGCATTATTAGGAAGAATATGAGTTCTAAAAGCTTTCATTTTACTGGTACTTTGTCAGCTGTAAGCAGCAAAGGAAGAACAAGGGTGGGAAACGTGAAGAATAGAATGAAGTGAATATATATATGAAAATCTCATTTTCAGTGAGTCTTACTGAGCTATAGGTAATAGTAGATTTAATCAGACACTGCTTTGCAGTGGCCAAGTTCTAACCCTCCAATGTTTCTTCATTGTGCTGTTTGTGCAGGCTGCTCCTGGAGCGGGAGATACGTCTCAGGAGCCTGGAACAGGCAACTGGAGAGGAATGCTGAAAACCTCAAAAGCAGAAGAGGTGTCGGCAGAAGAAAAAACCAAGCCAGCCGCAGCCCTACCTGCTAGTCCTCAAAAAGGACATGCTGTAAACCTATTAGATGTGGTGAGTCGTGAAGGACAATTACCTCCTCTTTGCAGTTCAGTCTCAGGAAGGAAAGCATCTCAGTTCCAGATCTTGTAACTTCGCTACTAATATACAATATCTTTGTAAATAGCTACCCCTGTAGGGACAGGGAGCTCTAGCCAGTCTCTTCTGCTTTTCTGCTTGCCCAGTCCTTCTTTCCACCCCCTCCAGTTTCAGCGTGTGATTTGGGATAGCTGTCTTCCTTTCACAAATTCCTGTGCAAGTGAACTCCTTGTCTAGATCGCTCTTTGTACAGAAACAAAGCTCAGCTCGTGCCTCAACTCAAATTCCTGCTCTTTTTTGATGGAGTTGGCATTTTTATACTAGAGGAAAAGAATCATTAAAGACAAAAACTACTTAAGTTAAAAAAAGATGGGAGATCTTGGAAGTATTTTGGAGAGCTGAGTTCCTTTAGTGAGCTTTTTAAAAAAATGTAGTAGTGGTGCCTGCTGATCTTTGTTTCACTGATGTGGATTTTGACACGTCTGATTTTATTTCTGAAGGATTCAAGGTTTGTTGCAGGACAGGTTACGTCTATCGAACTATGAGACTAAAAGAGCAATAGTTTGGTTTAGACTCCACAGTTTGAGTTTTATTTACTTATGCAAATGAGCAGAATTGGTAAACTGAGGTTTTTATTTTTTTACATAGCCTGTACCTGTTGCACGCAAACTTTCTGCACGTGAGCAACGAGATTGTGAAGTGATTGAACGGCTTATTAAATCTTACTTCCTTATTGTCAGGAAGAATATTCAGGACAGGTAAGACAAAACTTCTTAGAATTGTTTAAGCCATACAAATGTGATCTCTCGAGAGTCATGTATATAGTCTCTTTATTTTATCATGTTCTTACATTTGCAAGCAGAGAGAAAATACGATTTATTTTTAAAAGAGGTAGAAGCGGTAAAACTTGACCCCTTACAGAATTAAGAAGCCTGAAGCAGCACTTGTTTTTGCTAATAGTTTGAGTTCTGTATTATGTTCAATAAAAGGTTTAATTATTTAGGAGATGCCTGCTTTTCTGGAGGATACTGCCATTCAGATGGATGATTTGCAGTAAATAACTGGAATGAACTGTAGGTGCTGTGTAGCCCTGACAGAACTTGGCTTTGCCACTCTGTTATTTCAAATGTGAAGGCCGAATAGGAACTATTGCAGCTAAGTGTTCTAGTATTTACCTGTAAGGATGGAAGTAGCATAAAAGTGATGTTTCTGCTGTATGCAACTATGGAAAATGCCTTTAAAGTTTTGCTTAAAAACTGGCATTTTCTTTTTTTAATGAAGAATGATGTAAGACTTTGCTTTGCTTAAGTTTTTGTGGAAAGACCTAACTTTTTTATATATCTGTGGGAAATTTTGGGACAAACACAGGAATCTGGGAACCAGGGTTTAAAGCAGATTAGTGAGGTTATAAAAGTTTTATTCTATTCCGTAAACTAATATTCTCCTCAATATGATTTCTGATATTTCATAGCAAGGAATTGCTTGGATCACTTTAATTTTACTGCATTATTAGTACTAAGTATTATGTCCTTGTGTACTCTAAACAAACCCTTCTCATTCTTTGTAGTAAATATCTTTTTTTTATTATTATTATGTATACATATCTCAAGCATTATAAATTTGATGTATTAGGAAATCCTCACCTAATTCAGAAATAATTTTAGGAAACACCTCTCGAAGATGGTATTTCCGTGTGTCCCATATCATACTTGCAGAACTCATTCAGGCTTACTTGGATGCTTTGGATGGTATCTGTACCCACAGAGCTTTTGAACCTGAGTTGTGGGTTGCTTTCACTCTTAGCCAGGTGACTTCCAAAATATCTAGGTTTCTTTCTGAAGCTCTTCTTTTGATAGAACTTGCAATGTATTGTCTTGCATATACGGTCTCATCATGATTTCCCAGAAGTCTTCCAACAACTGATTAGTGAAGAACTATAAAGCAGTGGACTGCAGTGGGAAAATTCCCATCCGGACTTGGGAGTATGATTCTAAAAGCTCAGATATGTTGATGGATCTTTGTTCATCTTGGGTCTGGCTGTTTAAACTCACTTGGTCCTTGACAGGTTAATTCTGCAGTGACAATTGCAGCACTCTGAGAATGAGCAAAAACTCTTGATCTGCCTCACTTTAGATTTAGGGCTGTGAGCACGAGAAGAGTGATGTGGTCACTATTTAATGAGTCAATACTGATAATATGTCAACTCTAAGTCCACTCTAGTTGCAAAATACTGCTGCTAAGAATTACACCAACAAGGTTGTCTAAACTAACATGTTTTATTTCTTGGGAACAACCATTAGTATTTTTGTCAACAGTTACTATCACTCTGAAGTAACCTGAGGTGCACTAATTCAATTTTTGATCCTGTGTTTGTATCCCCAGATTTTGGTACTGCATTAGTATGATGATTTGATTTTTGTCAAAACTCGTGTAAATACTTTTCTCCTGCTTTTTCAGAGAAGTACTGCTATACATACCTAAGTCCATAAGAAAATCAGGTTCAGCTACCTTCAATACTTGGAATTTTTTTCAGGAAGCTTAGTTGTATGGAAATCAGAACTAGTGGTTTCTTTCAGGTGTTTTAGCCTGACATACAGCTGAAAAATGTTGCTCTGCAGATTCTGTAGTATCCTTCTGATTGATTGTTCTTGATTCTTACTGGTTGCCGCCTGTTTCCATTCTAGACAAACATATTTTTCACACTTAAACTCTGTTTGCAGTTTTACATTGCCCTCATGTTATGCTCTCAGCAGAAATAATGTGGCCCGTTGTTTCAGTAGTGATCCTGTTTTCAGTTCATTTGCTAAGATTTGATATATAGATTCTTTCTTTGCCTCTCTCTTATTCTCACATTAAGATTGATTTTAGGGTTGAAACACAGCTTTTTGTCATGCCTAGCACAGGGGAGACTCAGGTTGGTCTCTAGTGAGTGAATTAATTCAGTTTTACTTTATTTTTTACACTATATATATATATTTATTTATATTCTCATGTTCTTTACAATGCAGCTATCCTGTTTGGAAGAAATTCAACAGCTCTTAAATTGCACAAGATGCTGCATTTACTTGAGAGTTTTTATTTATGGTTGTGGTAAATTCCTGGGAGCTTGAGACAGGGTTGTGTGTAGCCACTTGCTCACAGTGTGCATTCTTCAATCTAAAACAGACCTGGGTTCCAGTAACTTTTTCTGAAGAAGTAATCTTTATGTGCTTGCAGCGTGCCAAAGGCAGTGATGCATTTTCTGGTGAACCACGTGAAAGACACTCTTCAGAGTGAGCTGGTAGGCCAGCTGTATAAATCTTTGTTGTTGGATGACCTTCTGACGGAGTCGGAGGACATGGCACAGCGCAGGAAAGAGGCAGCTGACATGCTAAAGGTACCAAAAAGATCAGGAGCTCACGGGAGTAGTTAATTAAATTGAAACTGTGTAAATGTGGTATTTTTGGAAGACTTGCCTGCCTTTTCTCTTTGCTGCTTTTCAGAGGAATGCAATGTATTACTTCTCTCTGCTGGAGGAATTAAAAGCAGTCTGTGACCGGAAAGGGTTATGTAGGTTGAGTAGTTGGGAAGAGGTGACTTAAACTGTATTTCGGGCGTAAAGCAGAAGCTGTAATCAGGTGTTATTTTCAATCACACATTTGCTTTTATTTAACTTTACAGTGTTGGATGAAGCTTACAGTGTTCTAAGTGCCGTTCAAGTGTCTGCTTCACCCAGAGCCTACTGGCCAGTGGCTGGTGTATCTAGACGGTACCCGGTACCGCGAGCAGCGGGAGCGCTGGGACTCGCTGATGGTGACCCCTGCACACGTCTGTGTGGCAGTGTGCTTGTGACACGTTGGTGTTACAGCACTCTTCTCTTCTTCAGGGTCCCAGTCTGTGGTGTAGCAGTCTGCTCCAGCCGCAGCAGAAATACGCTGCTTTGCATTGGGCTGTGTAGAAGAGCGTCCCTCTGCCAGCTCAGCTCGCTGAAGAAGTGGCGAGGGCTGCTTCTGCCTCATATGCAGAGTGGTCAGACAGGGTGTTTGAGAGACTGGATACCCCGAGATACCACTTGTCCAAGAACACCTGCAGCAAGTTTAATCTTTTGCTGTTATATGATCAATATTGGAGTGAAGGGAACTGTCTGCTGCAGTCTTTTAAACCGTAAACTTCATAGGGCTGAAGCTCAGGTTTCTCCAAACTGGAGTATTACTTACGTTAGTATTAGTTGATACTCTGAACTTTTAAATTTGCAGAGTTTAGCAAGACTAGACTGTAACGAATGCTTCAGAATGCTAAAAGTGATGTAAAATAGGTGCAGTTTCTTTTTTATTTTGAGGAAGGTTTACAGCATTAAAATTGTGTGTGGTATAGAAGTCTGCCCTTAACATTTTATATTTATAAATTCTCAAAACACACATAAATGTCAGTGGGAACACTGAGTATGTGAAAGTTGCTCAAAACAGTGACTATGAGCTCTTTTTGCTTTTAACTGGAAGTTCAGTTTTAAATCAATTTTTAATTCTTATCTCTTTAGAGAAATGATTTAATGACACCTATGCTGAATTTTATTATTACCTTTTGCTTTATAGTGTTTTCCACTTGTGTAATCTTTCGCAGACAGAAAGTTTGAGAGTTGTTAATCAATGTGGTTGCAGGTTGTTACCACTCATTTCATAATGAAAATGATTAGCTATAATTTGCTTTTTAACATTATACTTCCCGGCCTGCTGTTGTTGTCTCTGAGAAATCTCTTCAGAAAAACTAAGTAACTTTTGCTTTTCTGTCTTTCTGTGTGCAGGCCCTGCAGCGAGCCAGTCAGATCATTGCAGAGATTCGTGAGACACATCTTTGGTGAAGACTGTACCAGCCACACTATTTATATGCATTGGAGGTTACATTGACTTGAAAATTGCTAGGCATGGTATACGGAGTAGAATTTTTATTTATGAACTCTTATCTGTGTACTGCAACTGTGTAAATCTGCTCATGTAAAGACAGTTGGTTTGATTTGCAAACAGAAAAACATGCTGTATTTTGCAAAATCAGTCGTATTTAATCCACATAATAAATAGCTCTAAATGTTTCCTTATGAGCTTTCTGGTGCAATTTAAAGCAGACCAAGTCTACTGTCTCAGTGACAGTTTCATTTGAACTTGGGGAAAAAACATTAAAGTTCCAGTGCCTGAATTGCTAAACAGGTTGCCTGTGGTTAAGATGGACGGTGTAGTCTTGTGGCATAGTTTTAAGCTGCTTTTACAATAGAAGTTTAAATACTGTGAAGAGAAGAAAGCACCGAGTATTTTCTTTCATGAATATATTGCATGCACTGACAGATGGAGGTATCAATTTTATAGCACAGTGGAGATGTCTACCGTGTTACTATGTATGTGTGTCCCCATTTTTTTTTTTGTTTCCCCAAATGTTAAAACTGCAGACAAAACTTTGAACTTCACTTAATGAAGTATCACGTAGGAAGAATTAGCCTGGAGCTTGCAAACAATAACAGCCTACTAAAAAGTGGGTGCAGAGTTATTCATGTGCACTGGAGCTTGTGTATAAATGTTGGGGATTATAATCAGGTACAAGAACACCTTCCCCTTATTCCCCCCTGGGACCAAGCCCCTGGACCATCTGATAGTAAATTTGTTCTGGCAGAATTGAAAAATAAAAATGGATTTCAAAACTGTTATGGGATAATAAGTGTTTCTTTTAAAAACAGATTAAGTTGGCCAGGGAGAAGGGGATCCCCACTACTTCCAAATTTTGGAATGTGTGACAGTATGAAAGTCTGTGGGATTGGAATATTTATACCAGAGATTGCAGTTACTTTTGAGGAAATTTTACTGTGCTGTAAGTAGCTTTTGCTTTTTTTTTTTTTTTTTTTTTTTTTTTTTTTTTTTTTTTTTTGAGGACAATCCTAAAATTAGGGAACTTTAGGTTGGAAATTAAGTTGATGAATTATTCAGATAAATATTGATCACACTAGCCTTTAAAAAGTAAACAATTACAATTTTTATGAAAAAAAAAAAAAAAATTAAACTCCAGCCAGCACACTTGCATGTACTTTTCAAGCAGATTCACTTTTTTGTATAAAGCAAAAATGTTCACCATGGTATCGCTGATACTTTCATCACAACTTGCATGAAAAATAGGACACTGCTGTTAACATCCATGGCTTGTTTTTATGATATTGGGCCAATCTAGTGAGGATTTTATTATCATATTCAGTTCTTTCTCCACTTCATCAGTTAACAGAAATGGAATTCCTTTTGTAAGCCGTCAAAGATTGAAAATTTAAGACCTCGGTTTACAGGAAGGTCTGTTTAAAAATGTGTTTTTCACATGGGAATCTTCAGTGGCACCAATATAAGCACAAGTCTGACAGATGCAACTTTTGCATAATTCATGCATGATCTGAAATAATTTGTGCAGAACATGGAAATATATTTGGTATTTTTAAACAGCCTAAAAATTCATGATGTATGCATGACATGTAATGAATACAAAGGAAGTAATTTTAAGTACTTGCATTGTATCCAGAGATGGTCGTTCTCAGATTTAAGAAACGTGACTTGTAAAATGCAAGCCACTTTTCAAATCAGTTCTGGTGAACAGTGAAAGCTTTTAAATAGTTTTTGTCAAAAGCATTACATTTCTGTTTGGAGTTCACCTGACACCTCTCTCCCTTTTACTTTCCACACCTAAGAAATACGTTTCCAACAAGGTAGAGCCGTCCATAAGTGAAGTGCTACCTAAGCTTTAACTCCCAAAGTTCAGTCAACAGTCTGTTGTGAAGAAACATTCTTTTTGACTTGTAAACTTTTGAAATGCTGCATAAAGCAAGTGAATTCCGTTTCTTTAAGAAATTCCTGCAAGTGATAACTGGCTTTGTAATGTCATGTGAAATTTCCACAGTGTTAATTTGTTTTTTGAAATGTTATGACTTTGTTTCACAAAAATTTTTAATTTGGTAATGTTTGGGTGCCAAGAAATGAACTTGATATGTAATCCTTATTGCAAGTCTTTAAAAATCCTTGCTGTAACAATCCTGTTATTAAATAAACAGATAATACACAAAATTAATTATCCCAGAAATAAAGTTTGGAACTGACTTGTAGTTCAGGTGACAGGATCTACACGCTCTTTCAAGTTAAGGGTTTAACTACCTGTATTTGTACAGCCTTATGTATGTTTGCACTTGCCCTCATGCAATTCTACAGTGGTAGTTCTTGTGTGGTTGCGTAAGTAATAGTGTAGCCAGGCTGCTAGTGGCTATTAATGGCTTTTAAACCGTTGTCTAGAATTGAGCTAAAATACTTAAAATGCTACTGTTACTGCCACCATTAAAAGAAATTGTAGGGAAAACTATGTAAAAAAGCCTAATGAAAGCAGCAATTGAAAAATTCGTGTAATAGGCTAATGGTTTACAAATGTCTTCTAGTCCACCTGTTTACCTTAAACTTTGAAATACTTTTGTCATCAGTGCACAAACTTCAGCTACCTTAACTTGCGATCCAGTAAAACACACAATCATGGGGGAGAAAAACCACTGTAGCCAAGTTTAGATTGGTAAATGTTTGACATTAATACCTGACCTATGTGTGGTACTACTGTAAATAAAACATAGTATCCCTGCGTGTAGAGAGTTTGTCAACAAATTACTTGGGTTTGTTAGTAGTCAGTTTCAAATTTCACTTAATGGAATAGATGGGCAAGGGCAGTGTCTGTGTGCTTCAAACTGTATTCCGAAGTAAATGTAAAACTTATGTAAAACTTGCCTTTACTCTGTGCTTTATGGGTGATTGACTTTGAAAGATGCCAGATCGAATACTGCAAACTCAGCTCTTTGGAATACAGCAGGGGAAGTAGCATGCCAGTCTGTTGTGCCCCTGTTGGTAACTTGAATTGAATTATCTTGAGTATTTATTGGTTTTCCACAGTTAAAATCCTTTAGCTATGGTAGCAACTGCTAGCTAGCATTTTGTGTAGATACTGAAGATCTCAAATGCATCTGCCTTTTAACTTGTTTCCAGTTAAACTCTGTGATTTGAGGTGGGAGCTGCATAATGAATACTTCCAAGTTGGAAAGAAAAACAGAGTAGACCACCTGAATATGGTTTTATGCCCAGTGACAGTTTAAACTAGTAAAGGTGCTTTCATGCTCTGATAGCTCCCTTTCAGTTTACTTGCTGCACGCCCTTTTACCCTTTACCTCTTCAGTGCTAGCTGCCACAGTATGTTAAATGCAAGTCCTCCAGTTTTTGCTGTCCCTAGATGCTGTACAGATGTTTCGGTTGATTATTTGTTATTTGACCAAAATAATTTTCTTCTTGCACTTCCAAATCACACATTTGTAGACATGTTAAAAACTTTAATATGAGTTACTACTTGTTTACATTTGAACAAGCTGTGTCTCTGAGTACTTGAACATACCTGTTTTGGGGTATATGAGAAACAAGACCAGGCCAAGAAAGACTACTCGATTTTTTGGTCATCCTTGATTCTCAGCCTAATTGTTCAAGTGCTCAGTTGTGCTACCCTGTACAGTCATGTAAAGTAGTGGTTGTGTCCAGCCGTTTCTTTGGAAGGAGTCAGGGAAGGGTTGGAATTGGTAGGAGTTGGTCAAAAGGAAGCACGGACTAAATTTCTTGGAGTTTATGGATCTTATTAAAAACCTTGTATGCAAAGAATTTAATTCCCTTTTTTATTTTGTATTTGTAAAAATAAATAAAATCCTTTTAATACTTGATCAAAGCGGGTACTAATGCTTTTTTTAAAAAAGCTGAAATTTATAGACATATGCATATCTGCACCCTTTAGAGGTGAAGGAAAAAGGGCAGGAGAGAGATCAGACATGAAGCATTACTGGGAGTAGTTTCCTGCAAACAGAAAGTAACTGTCAAATCTGATCTGTTTTAACATAGGTGTGTACCAGTGTACATGGGTGTGTTCCCAGGTGCACATTTCTGTATTGCTATTTTGCGTCTGGCATTTAAGAAACATGGCAGCTACATTAAGTGGATGAACCTAACTTTCCCTTCCCTCCTTCTGCCCTTTTCACATCAAAGTTGTAACTTATATTCCCTATTGTTTCTCTAGGATCGTGCTGATCATTACTGCAGCTTAAGGCAAAGTAACAACACAAACTGGTCCTGAGAGCTAAGAGGACAGGTAGAGGGTTTTTTTTAAGGTAGGAATAACTTTACTTTTTCTGTATATAACCAAGATTAGGATAGAGAGATCTCCTTATCAGGCAAATAAGTGGGATCTAGAAACTGAAATTAATACTAATAACTCCAGGTACCCAGCTAGGCAAAGTGCTACTGTATTACAGTTTAATAATCTGAAGAAACTGCACTGTATAAGCAGCAAGTTGCTATAATTTATTATTACTGAAATCTTAATTGACAGTGCAAATAAAGCCACCGTCAAAAAACAGCAGCAACTCCCTAGCCACATCTAGAATATCTGGATACTTCAGCCTTACTAACATTCCTTTTCATTTCCCCATTCTTCTCATAGGCCGGGTGGTTTTAAACCAGCAGAAATACCATGATTTAGTCTAACAACAGGGTAAGTTAACCACATTTGGCTAGCTAAGATTAAGGCCTCTCCCCTTGTGGCTGCAGTGACTGCAAAAGTATTGTTTTGACTGGGAAGTTACTTGGCCTAGAAGTGGGGATTACCCTAAACCTTGAACACAACACTGCAGCCAAGGCCCACAGCAATTTGTCACCTCATAAATCAGACTTTCATACGTGTTTGCACTGGGGCAGGGAGGGTCCCCTAATAAAAAAGGTCTGAGCCAGCCAGCTCCGTTACTGTATTCTAAGTCAATTAATCAGTTGTAAGTAATTCAAATATGGGTGCGCTTGGTACCCACATGTGGGTTGTGTTGTTCAGGTGACCTGGCAGTGAGTACCGGCGGGACTTCACCTTGCCTAAGCAAACCCATCCCAAACCCCACCCTGGGAAGGGACTTCAGCAAGGTGGTGGTACAGTTTATTTGGTGCCAGGTACGCAGGCAGCTGCAGGGGCTAGCAATGCAAAGGTCTGCTGGTGGTTGTGAGCAAGAAAGCAGTACTACCTTTAAACACAGGTGTTGCTATTCTACCAACTCTCAAAATACATTCTCATGTTCATGCTGTCTTGACAGAAAAAATGAGGAAGCTGTGATCCCAAATGTTGGCTAGGCCCTAAGGAATGAGATCAGTGTCTGCTCTTTCATTAAGAAATGCAGCTTTTGCATGTTGCCTTAGTGGGAGGGTCTGACTTTAATTCCAAAAGCGCTATAGCTTCCTTCACGTTTCCTGCTCCACATACCCTTGTGCTGCTGTTCATGCACAACTCCTAGGCATCTAAAATTAAAAAAACTTTCATGCACATGCCCTAACTGGTATAATATACTATCTTGCAACTGACTAAAGAGCCCACAGAACTAGTGCCAGGATACACCTTCGACGAAGATTGTAGATAGCACAGATACAACCACATAATTTACAGGACTGAAGAAGTTAAATAAGTGTCACTCACATTTTAAGTTACACTAAGCACACAGAAGGCATAAAAAGGGAGTTGTCAGGCTGATTTAAGCTTTGAAAGGCCCTATACTCTCTTACATTTCAGAAAGTGAATTTGATCTCTATTACCACATCAAGACTGGAAACGTTTTTTGCGATTTGCCCCCAGACATAACCAATAAGAAGCTTACAGATTAGGGCTTAATCATTCTACTCATTTATTGTGAATCTTCTGCAGCTTCTTTCAACAGAAACCTGTTCAGAAAAAAACCTGCTGATTGTAGGTTGGTTGTCCTTACCCACTTACGCAGGTTTCTCTGTTACAATGAAGTCAAACTGGGCAGCAGCAAGCATCCTCTCTAGTAAGTACTGGTTTCGATTGTACTTCTGCTCATCTTGCTGTGGATTATGCTGTAGAGTACCTGCCCACTGCTCTACAACTCAGAAGGTTGTTGAGGGGAAGAGCATGTCTGTCTTTGAACTCTGAAATTAATCTTTTCATCTTCTTGTGCATATCCTCTTACAAGTGGTGCTCTGAATAAGGCAGAGTACCTAAAAATCTCTTCAGTGATATAACTTAGCTGCCTTTATTTGAACTCTGTTGGTATATTTTGAGACTGAAACGAAGGTATTGGGCAGTCTGTGAGCTGTGTAGTAACGCACAGTATAGAAACATCTTTCAAGTAAATCTTCAGGCAACGGAGTCAAAATGATACATTCACTGTTTTAGGGAGATGTTCTGTTGTCACAACTGCAGCCATTTTATAATGTAGTAATTCTTCTTTCCAACCCTAAGCAATGATACTCCATTCTTGAGAATATGCTGTCCAAGAATAAGAACAGTCTCAGGGTCAGTTACTCGAATCCCATTTATGGAAACTCCACCATTTGTAATTTTCTGGTACCTTAAAAAAAACAAAAACAAAAATAACAACTGGTAATTGGAAGAAACAGCTATTTATTACTGTTGAGTATTGAAAGATCAGTTAAGGGTTTTTTGGTTAGATCCATAATGGAATATGTTTTAATTTTCTTGCACTTATACTTTCAGTCCAGGTCCAGAGTTACTGAAATTAACCTTAGCCTCTACCACTCCCTTTCTTTCTGAGAGGTATAAGGAAGCTCAGGCTGTTGCCCTAGCCTGTCCATCAGGTGTAGATTTTACAGCTGAGATGCATGAGACTGCATTATCCTAGACTTTCCCTTCAAAATGGCATGAGGCCACCTGCTCCGCCTTTCTTTAATGCGGGTCTGGAGACTGCTAGCCTGTTTTTACTTGATTTGGCCATCGTAGTCATTCTGAAAGCATACCACTACAACTTGTCTTACGTGAGGTATTACCATAGAGCACAGGTGATAACATACCCACTAGGTCCATCTGGAATGGCATTTGCTTTGCGACACAGGTCAAGAACAGTCGTGCCAGGTTCAAGCATCAATTCAGCTGAAGGAGCTTGTCTAAAAAGTTCCTGTAGCTCTTGGTCAGACATAGCTTCCAGTGCCTCCACCCTGCTGTAATAAAGGGCCTGAGTGCACCTGTGAGAACAAAGATCATTCAAAATACAGTGCCAGTCTCACCTTCACACAAAGTGCTACTTAACTAGTCAGATTCCCCTCCCCAACTTCTGAGGGGCCACACAGTGACAGTACACCCCAAATTTTTTTATCATAACCCCCTGCACTACATTTTTTTTTTTAAGCATTTTTAATGTATTTTACAGTCTACAAAATTACTACATTTTTCACAGCTCACTACATGAAAATAGTCCCTGAAAAGTTATGGATAATTCTACTCAACAAAACAAACTTTACCTCTTAGCAGATTCTAGTCCCTCTCTACCATGAACAAGCTTGGTTACTTCTGCAGCAAGCCGTTTCTGAGGGCCCCATTTTTCAGGTTCTTTAGCATGCATTTCCATGATGTGGTCAATCTCTTCAAGAGGAATGAAGGTAAAGAGTTTCAGGTACCTATGAGCAGGGGAAAAAAATATTTTTTCTGTATAGCCATCATTATATATTTCCTGCCTTTGTCGTTCAAACTTCATTAACTACACTAAAATGAATCTTAGGCAATTTAGGAAATCCGTATTACAGATATTCTGTCCTTTCAAACAACTCTGTTTTTACACACACCAGGATAACTCACATGTTATTTACTATTCAGCCTAGGGTAATGTTTTCAGACCTAAGTGTCGGATGCTTTTATGAAGCTTGTATTGCAATCAACAATTTGTTTTTTTCTTGGAAAGTTTACAGGATTTATTGCAACTGTGTGTCAACTAACAAGGTTTTATACTGTATTCTTACTAGTTATACAATACACTAATACAAAATACCACTGCCAGTCTGTGGTGATCATGGGACAAAACTAGGTTATGTACTAAAAAGTATCTCAGAAAGATTAAATTACTGATTATCCGAAATAAAGGTGCATATCTAAGCATACTCTTTACAACAAAGTCCATTTTAATGGGCTTGTAGTACTATGAAATGCAGTATACTGAAAAAAGGTACTTTACTGTTACAAAGTCTGAACACATTAAATATTTTTATGTTAGGTACCCATATACGTCTCTTTTCAGTCCGGGAAGTGTTGTGGATGCAGAACCTAAATTTGAAGTATCAGGGAGTGAACCTTTGAGAGAGGTAACCAAGTTACGAGACAGGTTGCGATATGAAAGGGAAGTACCTGTCTGACGCTTACGAAGACTCAGATTTGGCAGCGATATTGAAATTTAAAGAAAAGCAGATGTAAAAGAGAACCTGTAGCAACTTACTAAAATGAGCGTCAGGCCCTGAATAAAGCTATCGGCTATTTATTTTCCACCATGTCACTGGCACACCAGCATGGAGGCTAGCCATCAATGAAGGAAACCTGTCAAATGGTTATTTCTCATATATTCACTACCCTTTCATATTCTCATGATATAATATTTTTTACACTGGTCAGTAAGAATATGAGTTTTGTGTGGTCGACTTGGATTCAGAGACAGCACGATGAACGCAAGACTGCGTTTTGCTAATTGGAATTGCTCTAAGTAATGATTATTCAGAATTTCATCTTTGTACATCCCAGAGCTTTAGGTAGTAGTTGCATTACTTCCAGGTTTTGGTGCATTGCAATCTCATCTGCTTTACAGATCAATCCACCTGCCATTATAATTGCAAGCAGAAGTCTTTGCTTCTGCATTCCCAGATGAGAAAAATGAACAGTTCACTACTTAATGTTTGCGGGTTTAATTGAAGAGTCAGAATGATGCAAATCGTTCCCTATCTGCAATTTTCAAAAGGGTCCACTAAAACTTCCACGCAAGGTATATGAAAAGATCATCAAACGGCCTTAAGGTTTCACCATGTTGATACTACTGGTCATTTACATAACACACACTCCTCCCATCATCTAAACACTTTTAATTAATGCTTAATTGTATGAGTTATGGTACATGGATAGAAACAGATGGCGTGTTTGTCCAGAAGTGGGCAAAATTACTTAAGACATTTTTACCACAGTTAGTTACACTACTAAACTATAGCCTAGGGTGCTGACTACTACTAGCTTTGACGAGGTACAAGCAACTAGTAATTCGACCAGGTACGTGAATTTTATTCATTCTGGTTTTCTCCTGTTTTTACTTTCAACAATGACTCAAAACTGATTCCTGGCAATCTCTACCTTGTGAATTCCTTGTATACTACGTTACATACTGCCTGCCGTGAGCTTAAAACGGTATAATTTTCTCCCCTTTTTAACTGCACTACTACCACAACGTAACTGTCTCCTAGGCATGTTTTTATGGCCTCCAGTGGTCTCCAAAGTGGGGTGCCAGCACCCCAGGATAATCCATTGGGGTGCACAAAGGAAATATTAGAACTTCAGTAGTACACTTACATAGTCTGTAAATAAATATACATGTATTGGGAGTGAATGCTCAAAGTTTTTTTACTGACAGGGGAACGTGATCAAAAAAATTTGGGGACCGCTGACCCAGGGAGTTAATACAATTCTAAGTATGAACTTCTTGGCTTTTTCTTAACAAGGCACTATTTTAATTTGCTTAGGGATATGCTGTTTTTCAGGTGACGCAGTCCTAGAAGCTGAACTTTATGTGTTTGTTTATAATCAGTGAAGTAGCTCTTGCGATTAAAATGTGGTGTTCCTGGATACCTCATACTAAGTCAAAACTTGTAGCAATTGATATCTATTAAACTGCAGTTGCTTATTAATTGGCAGGAGAGGTTTCATTCAGTATTGTGGTGTTACAGTACTGAAACTAACATACTTTGTAAGATAAAGTCACCCCACTTGCAGAACAAAATGCATTACGCTTTACTTGTTCATCCACATTGTAATTTTATGGTGCATATGCCAGCATATGGAGACAGGTTCCACTATCGTGTGTACTTAGGAACCAGTCATGCCTGTTCATTTAATGAACATACAGTTATAATTAGCAGATACTTCTACACAGAGCTTGTGTAGACCTATCCCCATAAAACAGTTACCAAGAACCGTTAGGATCAGGTTGTATAAACAATGACAACAAGCAAGATGAAGAATAACTACTTACTTTTCAACTATGTCATCGTGTTGCCTGACAAAAAACTGATACAGCTCAAATGGAGAAGTCTTATCTCTGTTTAGCCACACTGCATTGCCAGCAGTCTTTCCCAATTTATCTCCAGTGGTACTGGTAATAAGAGGTACGGTAATTCCAAACACATCTGTTCCCGTCATCCTGAGAAAGAGAAGAGTAACTACGTGTTAAAAATAAAATTAATGAATAAAAAAAAAATTAATATCACATCTTGGTAAAGTTCCCTAATATGTAAGCATTCTGCAAAATTCTATCCCTGATATAAAGGAGTTAAATGGGGGCTGAGGGGCAAAAGATGCCAGAACACTGTTTTGTGAAGAGCGCTTTAGGAAAAAAAAAAATCAAAACCTTGAACTTAAAATTGTAAGTCCTTTTGTGTGTAACGGAGTTTACATACTTTAAATAAGTAGTTTCATGAGCAACAGCACTAGCCAAAGCTGCGTGTGTGGCTGGGATGTCTGTACGGCTTTTCCTCCGCGCCGCTCCTCTCGAGTTTTGCAAGACTCGCCCCAAATTCGGTGGGTAGGCAGGAGCTCACCGTCACCAGGTTTGTTTCCGAGAGAAGAAATCCCACCACAACCGCCTGTACTTCGGCGCGACTGCACCGGGACGCGTTTGCCAGCAGAAGCCTTATCTCGCTTTCACCCCGCGTGTCAGGGCATCTGCTTTCGGCTCTTGGGCAAACACGTTCCCTCAAACACGAACCCAGGCTGAGAACCGCGGCCAGAGCGCAAGTTATGCGCCAGGCTCCCGGGCAGGACAAGGAAAAATCCGCCTCAAACCCCAGAGTTCTGCCTAACGCCAGATCTCCGCGGGGCCACCGCTGCTCCCGATTCCCGCCTCCCCGGGGAAGAGGGGAGGTGCCCGCCCGCCCGCCCTCCCCGGCCCCGGCGTACTTGGTGACGAGCTCGTAGCCGGACATGATGTTGCCCATCTGGTCGGCTCCCCCCAGCTGGATGCGGCAGCCGTGGCGCCGGTGGAGGTGGAGGAAGTCGTAGGCCTGCAGCGCCGGGTACAGGAACTCGGCCAGGCTCATGCCCTCAGGGCTGCGCAGCCGCGCCTGGCAGCTCTGCCGGCTCAGCAGCGCGCCCATCCGCAGCCGCCCGCCCGCCCCGCCCAGGAAGGCGAGCAGCGGCTGCCGGCCCAGCCACCGGGCGTTATCGAGCAGCTCCGCCCGCCCCAGCCGCCCGCCCCCCGCCCAAAACAGCTCCCGGTGGTTCTCGAACAGCCGCCGCAGGCCGGCGCGCAGCCCCCGCGCCTGCGCCCGCGCCCGCCCCGCCGTCAGCGGCGCCCGCTCCCGCTCGCGCCCGCTCGGGTCGCCCAGCCGCGCCGTGGCCCCGCCCACCACGGCGATGACGTCGTGGCCGGCGCGCTGGAAGTGGAGCAGCGCCATGACGGGCAGCAGGTGCCCGACGTGCAGCGAGTCGGCGGTGGGGTCGAAGCCGCAGTAGGCGGCGAGGGGCGGGCGGCCCGGCTCCAGCAGCCCCGGCAGCTGCTCCTCCGCGCTGGGCGCCGGGAACACCTCCTGGAAGAGGCCGCGCTCGCACTGCGTCGCCAGCAGCCCGCGGGCGCGCCGCGGCTGCTCGTGGGCTCGCCGCCGGAGCGGGAGCGGGAGCGGGGCCCGGCGCCGGCCGCCCCAAAGCCCCATCGTACGGCCGCACCGCCGCCACAGCGTGGGCGCCGCCATCTTGCCGCGGGGGGCGCTGGGAGCGGGGCGGGGCGGAGGGGCGGGCCCGGCTGGGATCGGCGGCTGGCGGGTTGTCCTGCGGGAGATTTAAAAACAAAAAAAAAAAATGCAGGCTGAAACGGGGTGTGTTGGTTCCTCCTTCGTTTTGTTTTGTTTTTGCAGTCCGAGGTGCCGCGGTTTCAGGCTGCCCTCGGACGCAACGGCGCGTTGGAATGGGTGGCGTTCCTCAGGGGTCGGGGCGGGCGCTGTTTTTGGCGACGCGGACAGCGGGGTTGGAGCGCACCCTCAGCAGGTTCGCCGGCGGCACGGAGCTGTGGGGCGCGGCCGGCCTGCTGCAGGCCAGGGCTGCCGGCCAGAGGGGCCCGGGCAGGCTGGAGGGGGGGGCCCGGGAAAACCTCACGCAGTTCAACAAGGCCGAGTGCGAGGTGCTGCCCGTGGGTCGGGGCGGTCCCCGGCGCGGAGCCAGGCTGGGGGAAGAGCGGCTGGAGAGCAGCCCCGAGGAGAGGGGCTGGGGGGGTTGGTGGGGGGAAAACTGCCCGTGAGGCAGCCCCGTGGGCCGGCAGCCCAGAACCCACCCGTGCCCTGGGCTGCAGCCAGAGCAGGGGGGGCAGCAGGGCCAGGGGGGGGATTCTCCCCCTCTGCTCCGCTCTGGGGAGACCCCCCTGCAGTGCTGGGGCCAGCTCGGGGGCCCCAACAGCAGAAGGACCCGGAGCTGCTCGAGCGGGGCCAGAGGAGGCCACGGAGATGCTGGGGGGGCTGGAGCAGCTCCCCTGGGGGGCCGGGCTGAGAGAGTTGGGGGGGTTCAGCCTGGAGAAGAGAAGGCTCCGGGGAGCCCTTCGAGTGGCCTCCCAGGGCTTAAAGGGGGGACAGGAGAGGGGGGGGGGGACTCTGGGTCAGGGGGTGCAGGGACAGGATGAGGGGTGATGGTTTTAAACTGAAAGAGGGCAGATTTAGGTTAGATATAAGGAAGAAATTCTTCCCTGTGCAGGTGGCGAGGCACTGGCACAAGTTGTGTCAGTGTCCTCAGATGTATTTTAATTGCCCATGAGCTTCCTCATTCTTGCCAGTTGCATTGTTAGTTGAAGTAAATCACTTCTGTGGGCATGGCAGCACAGAGAGAGGGCTTGCACAGGTCACCTGCCACTTCAAGGAACTGTCAGTCTGAGAAAAACAATGTGATACTATTTTTCTAGCATTTTCCAGAACTGTTCATGCCTCCTTTTGACTGGCTTCCTGCTTCAGTATAACAAAACGATGAGTCTACTTCAGTTTAGTAAGAACAGTGAAAGATACTGGAAAAACTTTGTAAATCCCATATGCTTGGTATGCTTTGATACTTCCCTAAGGCACTATAGTAGAAGTAAGTCAGTAGTAGTCAAAAAAAAAAAAAAACGAAACACCAAAAATCCAGAAGCCAACAAGAAAAAAGGTGTGAACAGCATTATTGAGTATGGAAAATAACATTAAGTTGTTTAGAGAAATTACATGATTTTTTTAACAAGCCCTTCCAGGACTCGAACAATCCTGCTTTGTATATTGATTACATAGGTAAGTATTGGCAGACGGTGTTTCAGAGGGGAATATACATCATAAAATAGGAGATGTTTAGATTGTCCAATTACTGGTGAATTCAAACAGCCTGGAGAAGATGTTTTATTAGAGATGGGAGCAGTACTAAATATGATACCAATACAAATTTATCTTTTAATTCGTCACTTTAAATTTTGGGGGGAGAGCATTTATGTGTGCTTGGTAGTCATAGGTTAATGTCTAGTTGTTCTGGTCAACTTCAATTCATCAAACTGATGATCACATGACATACAAATATTGATAGGGTGGGTCCAAGGTGGTGTCAAAAGCAAAAGAGAATGTATGAGACTGTGACTCAGGAAGACTGGGAGATATAAAGGCATTAGTTTTGACACCTGAAAGCTATTATCACTGAAGACTTCTTGCTAACAGACTTGCAGGTAAGTACAGAATTGTTCTGTTATATAACATTAGGAATAAATATGATGGAAGAAAATCAGGTTTTGTGGAAAATAAAGAAGCAAAAAAAAAAGCCCATTATGCATCAGTGAGCTAATCCTAAAGTGATGAGGTATCTGTCAGTGTGAAATACTTAATGCTTGTAGTAATGGTGTGTTATAAGAAAAAGGTGCTGTGAAGTACTTTGTCATTGGACTGGTGGTCACATACTTGAGGATGGTACAATTTTTTTTTTTTTTTCCTGAGGATTTATTGTGCTGGCAAAAAGAAAGGGGGTTTGCTGTACAAGATACCAGATTTTCCTTTACGTTTTGTTTGCATTTATGTGGTGTGAAGGGTGTTCATTATTTTTAAAACACAAGTAAACACAAGTTACATGTTCATATATACATTTATATATATACTTATATGCACATGTATATTCTCTTTACTACAGTGCTTTGCTTCAGTAGTAAGTGAAAAGGAAACCTTTTATTTCCTCGGAAGAGGAGTCCTTCTGGAGCTGAGGACATGGAGGATGGTTTGCATCTCTTTGCTCTGGTTATTCGTCTCAGTGTAGTCAACTGAAATGAGCACATCTCTTCAGCTTCAGGAAATAATATGAAACCAAGACATCACAAGTTTGGCTGCTTCTTTGTAGATAGCACGAGCAGCAGGAGTTAGCCACAGCCCAGAGCTTTTCTTTGAGTTTTAGTTCCTATGGGGTTTATTCGATTTGTTATTCACATGATGGTACTGCCTTATGGCTGTTAACCAGCTCAGTGTTGCTTAGCAGTAAGTGGTTCACTCCTTAGGCATCACCAGCACAAACTTCTCTCCATCTCATTTGTATTTTATGACAGTTAATCAGTATGTGCGGTATATTAAAAAAATATATTTTTTTCTATGTTTTCCTTTACCCAAACACTCTGCCTTCATTTCCCATGTTACCAAAAATGCAGCAATGAACAGCCTCTTTTCTGTAGCATGAACCTACTTGAATTTGCCTGCTAATTATGACCTCTTTATTTGGACCTGTTCAGAAAGTCATCCATGCATACGCTTAGAGAAGAAAGATTTGTGTATGTTTCTAGCTCGTCTTATGGAGGAGTCTCCAGACTGTCATGCCCCATCTGACCAGGTATGTAACAGGGTGTCATTGCTAGGAAGGATTTTTGCTGTGTATTTTACTGAGAACTATCCTTTAAAATATCTAATGGCATCTATCAAACAAAACATTTATAAACCTATATTGTACGATTGCTCACTTTTGGGGGGGAGTGAGTCTGCTGAGTTAGGTGGTCCTTAGTCCTCTCCTCACAGGAAAAGAGTGACAGACTTTGCAGGTTGGGCTTGGATGGTGCTATAGTGATAGCTGAATTAGTCCCAGACACTCTAAGGGCCATTGAGCTTTTCCAAAAGAAATAACTGAAACTCCCATTTTATCATTTATTTATGTTATTCATATTATCATTATTCAGTTATATCATTTCCACAGTTAAAATACATCCTAGCTTAATTTTAGTTGTGAATATGAAAATATTAAATATTTTATCTTCAACTCCACATACCGTTTTGCTTGTATAGAAAGCTTTTCCTGCTCCAGTTTATCTGAGAATGGTTTATAAAACTACAGATTAAAAACTACACAGTGATCAAGTTAGCAGATAACAGTAACAGTGATGGTTACACTTTTAAAAACTTTTAGAACTACTTCGTAAATATTACTGAATTTATAAACAGTTGATCTGATATGGGACCTAATAACGACAAACAGTTTTGAATGTGAAGCAATGGAATCACGGAAATGGGTTGAAGTAATCTAATCCATTTGCTTACAGTGAAGCATGATTAAGTCTGATTATATCACCCTTATCAGATACTTGTCTAACCTGATCTTCAAACTATTTTACAGGAGAGACTTCTCAACCTTTTTATGTCAAGCTTCAGACTTCCACCTAGATTTTTGTTGGGTTTAAGTTGTTTTTTTTTTTTTTTTTTTAAACCTCTAAGGCTCTTTCCCTAAATTCTCCAGTGTGCTTGCACTTTTCTTAAAGTCAAACTAAAACCTGATGCAACACTCCTTCAGATCGAGTAACTAGCAGCTCTGCAGTTCCTGGAGACATCTGTGATACGTGGAGGTCAATAGTAACGTTGTGTTGTTGGTCTGTCGAACTGCAGTTCACAGTAGTCTCCAGACTCTTGTGGCTAGCAGGTGTTTCTATATTGTATTCGCTTGTTCAGTTTCTGTTTCCAAAGCAGGATCTTGCTTTGCTTGGTTTTGGTTTTGTCTTGTTGCTGTGCAGCTTTTTCTATTGTTCTTGTTTTCTCTCCTTTCCTGTTGTGTAATGTAACCATGCCTACTTTGATTTTCTTCCTGCAATTTTATATATACTCTTTTATTTTTCCCTTTTGTGTCCCCTGCTAGTGGAAGCATCTGTGTTTTTTCAGTGTAGTCTTTCTAGTTTTATCTGTACATGCGGTACTATTCCTTTATGCTTATTCTTCATTTTGCCTTTACTTCCTTTCTTTTGTTCTGATTCTGGTTTTGTTAAAGATGTGTGGGTACAAACAAAGTGGTCTTATGGTGTTATTGACTTTTCCTTTACATCAGGATGTTTTACTCCTATTTCTCTTCTACTAAGTCAGACTCTCATAGTCCTCGGAATAATTTTTCCAAGAGATTTCCTAGCAGTTCCTTAAATTTGCTGATATATGTATTTCTGAAATAATTGTCATCATTCTATTCTATCCTTTTCTGTATATCACATCATCATAATTTTTATTGGAATTATCTTCCATTTTCAGATTTATGGTAATTTCTTCAGTGTTAGAGTCAAGTATCTTTTTTTCTCATTTATTGATGTAATGAAAATTGGCTACAGCATTTCTCCAGAGCTGAAGGTGTATCCTGAATGTGTTACTTTCCTAGCTGCTATCTCCAATAGTTGGTCTACCATTACAAAAGGTCCTTGAATGCATCAGATGATTGCTTAAAGCATTTTAAAAACAAAAAGGCACTTTCTCCTTTTACCTGGTGGTCAGATGGTCAGTAATAGATTTCTGTTGCTATCACTGATACTACTTTCTTCACTCTTGCTTTCCTTAATGCTATTATCGCTTTGAGAAATTTACAGAAATACATGTTCGCAGTCCTTCTGAAAGATGATAGTGAATCCCAAAGCTGCTGTTCTTTTCTGAAAAATGGCACAAGCTATTCAGTTCCCGTGCAGACATCCTTTGGGGCAGGTGGAATGGACCTGCATTCTGTGAAACATTCCCTGTAGATGTCACTGAACTTCAGAGCAGTTCAGTCCATAGGTGATCACCTAGAATATTCTATTCCAACTACTTCCGTGACAGAGAAGACAGAAGCTGTTATCTAAGTAAGAACTGAATAATCTGATCTTATTTGGAAGTTGGCCCTGCCTTGGACAGAGAGGTGGATAAGATAAACTTCAGGTTTTCATTTCAAATCTAATTTGGTACTGTGTAGCGCATCTCCCAGCCTTGTAGGTGGGCTGTATCCAGTGACAGTATAATTTACTTTTTGTGCTACTGAAGCAACAGTGGGCATTAGAATACCTGCCATTACATGAATGTACAGAAGATTTAAAGAACCTGGACACTCATTATTAACTTTAATACCATTGTCATTTTTCTTTTTTTTTTTTTTTCCCACCACAGCTAATATAGTGTTTATAAAGAAGCCATATATGTGTATATATATATATGTGCATGTGTGTGTGTATATTATTGGAGAAATTTGGTTCAAAGAAACAAATACTTCTGAGAGTGTTTTAGGAATCTATAGTTTGATCTTTCCAGCTGAATCCAGTTTTGGTTTCATGTGTCTCTTAATTGGAGCAGCACTGGATTTCTTCAGAACTAATGCACAGAAAAAAATAAATTCATATTAAATTTGCATTATCTTTTCATAAAGAGAAGTTGTGATCTAAAGACTGTGGGACTAAGGAGCAGTTACATGTAATACAGTGTGGCAAAATTTATAGTGTATTTTTGAATCTATATAAAGCGGGCATGCTTGTAAAATCAGGCTTTCTTTATTTTCTCTTCAGTTCAATAAGATTGGGATGGTAATATGTGAATCAGACAAAGTACACAAAATAGTAGCTATGAGTTTCTCCAAATCTGGACTGCATGCTGTACAACAAATCATTCGGTGTCTTCCCTCTTCTTTGCGTGGCTGCACTGTGTATTTTTCCAGGAAACCATGTACAACTTGTGCCACATTCCTCATTCAAGGTATAGAACACATTTTTAATCAAGCTCTTTCAAGGTGTCTAATACATTTTTAATTCATCTGTGTTAACTTCTACCAGAATAAAAAGTTCATAAGTGACCCCCCTAAAACTCATGTCTAGAAAAATGTGGTACGTGGCTCAGTCCAATAAATCCCTCCTTAGTCAAAGGATTTTTTTATGCAAAGAGTCGTTTAGAAATAAGTGAGACTGCATGCTTGGGAAAGGGTTAGCAAGCTGTGGGAGGTAATCTGTGAAAGTGAAATACCAGTTGTTGCAATAGTTGTATATTCAATTCAGATCTCATTGCAGTGGGAGTGGTTTAAGCCTGTGGGTGACTATATAGGATTTGGACTCTAGTGTATACACAGAACTGCAGTGCAGTGGAAAATTGGTTCATTGCTTCAAACAAAAAACATGTGAATTGAATGTCCCACCCAACTGGATGGCAATTGAAGTGACTTTTGGTGTTTGTCTCTAGGTTCAGTTTCTTCAGTCTATTACTGGCCAGTGGCTCCTGAAAAAAAGGGAGATGATTCAGTGGTTAAGGAAGATATTCAACGATCTGACCATATGTTTCTTAGAAGTCACATAAGTAGCAGTGTGCTCTTACCCATGACGAGCTTTGAAACTGTGAAAATGATTGCAAAAAAAATACGATGCAATGGACAACTGAACAGCAATTTTAAGTTGCTTGATTATCAAACTGAAGAGTTTGAAAAATATTTTTCACTGTTTAACATACATAGCTGCAAAGATACATGTGTCAAACGGATGGAAAATGCTTTTCGTTGCTATGATTTTTTACTGAAATGTTCCCAACTTGAGAAGAAAGATCCAAAGGAAGATGTTCATCGGCATGCATTGCAGCTTTGTTATTTTTTAGCAGCAAGATCTGGTGAGTTATGACGAGTGTATATGAAGAATAGTAACCAAATATAAATAATGGCTTTGTTTATCTTTTATTATTGCAGTTGATTAATTCAGCTAGTGCAAAGAGAAAATATTGCACAACATATGTGGGTATCAGAGAAATTTGCTCTCCTGACATAACTTCTAAAATATTTTCATTAATGTATTTGTTACGCTAATGTTTAATGTTATTGTTTATAATGTTTGTTGCAATACTGAGCTTAAACCTAAAACAGAAGATGGAAGTACATATTCTAGAAACATAAAAAATAATATTTTATCACTTAATCCATTTTAGAGGGGGAAAACAATATTATAGATATATATATATGAATTTAAACATTCTTAGTATATTGTTAATGTACCTAGGTGAACTTGTAGTGAATCTCATCAATGAAGGATCTTGACGTATTTATAACCTTTCATATTCTGTTATCTGGATTTTGTATCGAGTTAATACTCTGCAATTATTATTCGAAGAGTAAGTGTACCTTGAGTCAGATTTTAAGTTGTATTCTTCTGAAATCTGACATTTGTTGTATTAGATAGTAGTCACACCTCATTGTGTTACTGTGTATGGGTGTCTGTCTAGAATTGGATAATGTACATGCGTGGAGGGATTCTCTCAACAGGTAAGCAGTCCTTTATGCCTTCCATCTCTATATCTTTAAAGCACTATATGTTAAACTGTAAAATTAGTTTTTAAGTATGAAAAAAGTATGTTTTTAAGTGACATTAAAACCTTTCTCTTTTCCAAAAGATGACCCAAACCGAGGTATAGGGTGTACACTCTACAGTCAGGATGGATATTTTGTGAGTAGATTGAATTCTCCAACACTTGTAGAATTTCTGTTCAGTGCTCCAAGGGACATGGTTTATTTGACCCAATGGAGACACCTGCAGTGTAGATGCCTACTTCTGAACTATTGGCCCTGACTCCTCTTTATAGCTGGTGGAGATCTGGAGTGTGATTCATCCCAATCCAGTCTGGAATAGGCCAGGTAGACTTGCTTTTCTCCCTTGAATATAAAGGGAGTCTAGGGTGACTAGTTCAGGTGTAGACTTGTAAAGAAGTTAAGGGAGATGAATTTCCCTCATGAGCACATTCTCCCATAATAAATACGCTAATAGCAATGATAATATTTTCTCATTTAACTTTAAAAAAACAATCTCTGAGGCCCACTAAAAAGGAGGATCCTAAGTTTCTTCAAAAGTAGAGAGACAAAAAGATGGTGATGAAATTAACGGAGAACAATGACCTCACTGGATGCAAAAGCAAAATCAGCTCTTGGCTGTGTTAAAAGCGATAATGTGATGGGGTGGTAAGATGCTTGCGGCAAAGTGTTAAAGCTGATTAAAAATCCAGTATAAATAGCTGTAAAAACTTAGAAGTTATGTATACCTAGAAATACATAGACAGTGTATATTTAGGTTTTGAAGCTGTATTAATAAATGGTTAAAATGTTGCTGATGTTTGGAAGGGTCTGTTAGATTTTGATTATTTTATTTCATTTGTTTTTTTGGCAGTTTGGGGCCGGTTATAATGGGTACCCCATTGGCATATTATATGCAAACTTGCCGTGTACGGGAAGAAAAAAACAAAAGACTGGACTTGCAAAACGGGATTTTGTTCTCCATGCTGAAGCAAATGTTCTTCTATACAGGTTATTGTTACAAATCTAGTAACGGAGTGACTTTGTAGGCATTCTTTATGACAATAGATGTGAATAGTGTGTAGTGTGAATATGGCAGTGACTAACCATGGATTTTCTCTTTGATCTTTCCATCTGTTCTTCACCCGTTAATTCCGTTTCAAAAACTTAACGTTTTACAGCTCTGATCTTATAATCAACATTTTAATGTGTGTTTCCTCTCCTCCACCCCCAGAAAGGTGTAGTACCACCTTGTGTTCCTACACTGCCAAAATGATCATCCAGTCTTGCTGTGATGAAGCTCTAAACAGTTTTTGAAAGACACAGCCTGCAGCATGCTGCCTGGCAGTCTTTTTTGGTGGTCCTTAGGCTAGCAAGGGTACTACTGTCAAGTCAGCCAGATCACTTAAGAACCTAGCTGTCAATAATTGGAGAATTGCTAGTCTGTAAAACTATATGGCTCATAATGGTAGCTCTTTTATATACACAGAAGTAGAGGGAGCAACCAAGATCAGCTATTTGAAGGGAAAATCAAGATGAAATAGGAAACTTGGAGGAGGAGGTAGAGAGTAATCGAATTAGAAATAATAGTCTTCAATGAAAATACTGATTTTATTTTAAAGAAATGTAAATATTATATTCAGTTGCAGCTTTGCAGAAAAAATAATTGTGCAAATACATATATGTTTCAGATCAAAAACAAAAATAGAAGAGAGTGATGTTCTTTACTGCATCAAACCTCCCTGTCATGACTGTCAGAATCTTTTGAAGGATGTGAAAGTCAAGATAATTCATTGTGTAAAAGAATCATCCAAACCAAATACAGAAGTATGCTTATGTAATATTATCTATTTATTGTCATAATGTAATTGTATGTTTGACAGCAGGGGAATCAGTTTATTTATGGCTGACTTACAAACAAACACGTCGGTTCTTACCCTTCTCTATAGGGGAGGAACTACTGCAGATCATCACCTATGAGATGCTTCATTCTTCATACCCATGTACAGCTGAAATTTTATGGCTTGCTTTCTGCCTTGTAAATCTTTACACTCAGATACTTCTAAAGTCATGAAAGGAACAAGTTACATATTTTAGGATCTTGCACTGGGGAAGTCCAGCCTCCTGTTTAGCTATACCTTTATAACAGAGCTCTGGAGTGCTCCCTGATTTTGAATCTGGATGCTTATTCTGGCTGTGCCTGAACTCTTATGATGGTGAGACCTGGGTATATGTCTTGGTTGCTATGTGCAGGAAACCTGGGCGCAGATGCTGAGGGGAGCTGTGGCATGCTTCCTTAAGACCTCCAATATGAAAGAGTACCTCTGTCCCGCATTGCACACACTTAACTTTTAATCCCTTGGGGTAAATGCAACAGTCTTCTTTCTAAGTATCACATTCTCATATTTTCAGTGTCTGATGAGTTCGGCTTCACTGTTTACAGGTCTGTGCCAAACAAGGTATTTTCAGATTCATCACAAGATATCACCTTCCCTTTAGTGGAAAGAATGAGTATTTTCTGAGTTTGCAAAGAAATATTGCTCCTTTCAGGGAAGTCCCACAATTACTTAATGGGATTTACTCGGATGTAATTTCAATCAAATAATTTGTGTATGGCTCTGGAAAAACCTTCATGAAGGAAAAGGTCCCAGACTTGGTTCATGCCCAAGTTTCCAGTTAATTCCCATGTTCTAGATTAAATTCTACCCCTGTAAAGACAACTGTAGCCAAGGTATTCAAAGTCTTCTTTGCCTTGTTTTTTACTGCCAAGATTTGTCCTCATGAATGCCGTGTCACTGAGACCAGCGGAAAAATGTGGAGCAATGAAGATTTCTTCTCAGTAGAGTAGAATCTGGTTATGGAATACTTAAAGAAGTTGGATGTATAGAAGACCATAGGACCCATCAGGAAGGAGACTGGGAGTAGTTAGCATGGATTTATGAGAGGGGAAGCATGCCTGACTAATCTGACATCCTTTTATGATGAGATGACTGGATTGGTGGATGAGTAGAGAGCAGTAGTTGTTTTTCATCTTGACTTTATCTCCCACAGCATCCTCATAGACAGCTGATGAAGTATGGACTAGATAAGTGGACACTGGGGTGGATAGACAACTATCTGAACTGCCAGACTCAGAGGGCTGTGATCTGCAGCACAAAGTCCAGCTGGAGTCCAGTCCCTAGTGGTGTACCTCTGGGGTGGATAATGGGACCAAAACTATTTAATATTGTCATTAATGACCTTAATGATGAGTCAGAGTGCCCCCTCGGGAAGTATGTTGATCATCCAAAACAGAGGAGTGGTTGACACACCAGATGGTTGATTCGGAGGGACTTCAACAGGTTGGAGAAACGGCCAAAGAGGAATCTCGTGAAGTTCGACAAAGGGAGGTGCAAAACCTGTACGCCTGGGGAGGAATAACCCCATGCCCCAGTACAGGCTGGGACTGACCAACTGGGAAGCAGTTTTGCAGAAAAGGACCTGGTGGCCCAGGTGGTTAGGTTGACCAGGACGCAGCAATGTGCCCTTCAGACAAAGGCCAACTGCCTCCTGGGCTGTGTTAGGCAGGGCGTTGCTGCCGGGTTGAGAGAGGTGATCCTTCCCCTGTGCTCAGCACTGGCGAGACTGTGGTCGGAATGCCGTGTCCAGTTTTGGCCTTCCCAGTATGAGAAAGATACAGGCATAGAAGAGCAAGTCCTGCTAAAGGCGATGGTGATGATTAAGTGATGGGACCGTTTCTCATATGAGAGGAGGCTGAGAGAGCTGAGACTGATCAGCCTGGAGAAGCTCGGGTGGGATCTTATCCACGTGTCTGAATATCTGGTGGGAGGAAGTAAAGAACACAGAGCCAGACCCTTCTCGGTGCCCAGTGATGGGACAAGAGACACTGGGCACAATCTGACATACAGGAAATTCCACTAAAGTGTAAGAAAAATCCTTTTGCTGTGAAGGTGATGGACACTGGAACAGGTTGCCCAGAGAGGTTGTGGGCCCCCATCCTTGGAAATATTCAAAACCTGAGTGGACATGTCCCCAAGAGATCTGTTCTAGCTCATCCTGCCTTGAGCACGGGCTCTGCACTGGAGACCTCCAGAAGTGGCTTCCAACCTCAGCTGTTCTATGAGTGCCTGGTTTATTTGTTTGCATTTACATTTCTTTTTTCTTTTAGGATCATCTAGATGATTTAAAGAAAAACTTTGACTATCATGAGGTAAGTTTGCATCTTAAAGATTAGACTTAGGGTTGTATTACTAAAAAGTATTTTTCAACATTCGTTTAATAAAAGCACAGAATAGTTTGCTTTGATATGCGTCATCCTTCTGGTTTGCCTTGTTTATTTGTTGGGATTTGTTGTTGTTTTTCTCTGTTGTTTTTAAGAAACACATTTTCATTAGATGGAAAGTTCATTAAAATACATTGAATGTTCATGAGCCATTCGATGATAGGTAAATATGTATTCACCTGAATAGACACATCAGAGCTTTTTGGTCATTATTTTGAAATGCATCAGTAATTTTGGGAGCCAGTCGTTCCCAGTTGTAACAAAAAATAATTCAGCAGGTAGAAGGCATGTCAGAAGTGGAAGCAGATAATACAGAAAAATATTGCTTTCCTTTTCAAGATCCATCATATACATCTGATGGTGGTAAAGCAGTCTGAGTTGGGAAAAGAGGGAACTGGGACACATGAGACTAGTGATGAACTGGTTAAATGCAGTCTGTGTATTTGACTTTTGTCTTCCTCTATAAAACAAAGAGCTTTAAAAGTGGAATAGACAAGGATGACTTCAAGGACCCATATTTGTCCAGTGGTCTAAGAAATCTTCATGGTAGATTTATTAATAGCTGTAAGATATAATGGCAGATTTGAGCACGTAAGTTGTGGAAAGTACTAAGCAAATGTTTGCTTATGCTTTAAGTAAATGTATTGGGTTTGGTGTGTTTTGTTTGTGTTTTTTTTTGTTTTGTTTTGTGTTTTTGTTTTTGTTTATTTGGGTTTGTTTGTTTATTTGTTTTGTGTTTTTTTTTTTTTCCCAGTGGGAACAGTACAAAACTCAACTTATGGCAGGTATGGTTAAGATTAATTTCCTCACACTTCTGTACTGTTCCATTTGGCTTCTTTTAGTATTACTCAGTGTTTAAATTTAGAAGCATGGTATGTTACTAAGTGCTTTTCTTTAAGGCCCTTTTTGCAACATGTAATAAATGCACAAAATCTGGTTATAAATTGCATTTAATTACTGTAAGTTAAATTGAGTTACCCTTAAATTAGTTCTGCTCATTCTAACCTTCCTTTGGAATGATACATTATAAATATATGTACTGTGCAGATTCTACTTCTGCCACAATACTTCTGAATATGCAGAAGGCAGAATTATACAGAAATGTTGCCCTTGAGGTCTGTAGGTGGCCAGACCCTGTAACTGGTTACAGTTGAAAAGACAGAGGAATAACACAGCATGTTTCTGGGGTTAATGGTTTCTGCTTTCTCTCTTAGTCATTAATTTTTCAGTTCTCACCAAATGACCAATGAGCATCCTTCATGATAGTTTTCTTATTTCAAGTTTTTTTTCTGTGAATTTCTTCTAGCTTTAAATGGATATATCCAAATCTTTGGATTGAGTTTCTCCCCAGGACACAAGCTTTATGCTGTTCTGAGTTATGCCAGTTAGGGAGTCAGGTGACCTACCACAGAATAATGCCGTTAATACTGAAGTTTTCTTAAATAACTTACAATTTTATTTAGACTAGGCAACCAGTAAAAAATAAGAGAAGTTTTTAAGAACACTGCACAACATTTTGGGAATACACAAAATCTTGTATACTTTTTGCTTGGTTTAAGCAAAACCAAATTTAGAACTGAACTAAAATTTTGAAGTCTTAATGATTTATAAGCTGATGCACCATTGCTCTTACTGAGGGAGAATAAAGATTTTAAATCAAATCAAGAATTGGAACAAAACTGAAATTAGAATATAGAAACTCCAGAAAAGTTGCTGACCACATCTTCATGGAGTGTGAAGATAAAATTGACAAGTGAGTTGGGGAAAAGTACTTAACTGAAGAGTAGTAAGGGATAGATTATTTCAAAATTTAGGAGAACAGTGTATATTTGCAGTAGAATGAAATTAAATTTATGGGGAGAGTGAGAACCAGGATGATGAAGTTCGCATAACAAGATGACAGGATGGCAGAAATGAACAAGCAGAGACTCAGTATCAAAGCCAAGAAGAGACAATCCTGAGTATGAAAGCAAAAGGAGAGAGGAGGAAAGCATTATGGATTTGTGGGTTAAAAAGGTGGAATTCAAGCCTTTTTTAAAAAAATAAACAACAAAAAAAAAAAACAAAAAAAAACCAAAACAAAAACCCCCAAATCAAAAACCAACCAACAAGCCAAACAAAAAAAAACCAAAATCCAACCCAACCTCCTTGTCAATACCACCACCTTTGGGGACCTATATTTATTTCTACGTGAAATTCAGTTAGGTGTTTTCTATGTGGGCAATTCCCATTCATTGTAATATAGTTTATTTCTGAATAAGCTATCAGAGCCTGGACTTTGATGTCCTGACTCTCAAATATTGTCCTAAACCAGTTGTGGCTTCTGAGATGCCCAGCTGACAGTGGGCAGTCTGTCAGTGTTGATAGTGAGAGGAGGAGGGCTGATACACTTCATGTAATCTCTTTTTATGTGTTATTCCTAATCCAACCTTTTTCTTGTTTGTCTTCCAGTACCCAGTGGTTCAGAAGACACTAGAGGAACAGAAGGAATGAATGATGAAGGCAAAGTGAAATAAATTTCATAAACTTTTCACCAATTGCCATAGTTTTTGGTTTCCTTAATTTCATGTCCTTAAATGGGGTTGAATAAATGTAATTGTCCTGAAAGCAGTGAGCTGAATATTACACAGCACAGAGCTGATGCACGAACTTCTGACATACCTCTCTGGCAGCATGTTTGTCTTCATTTTAATTTTTCTTTAAGTAAAAGTAATTGTATCCTTTTTTTTTTTTTTTTTTTTTTTTTTTTTCTTCAAGTCTTGCCTAATGTTATTGAAATGTTAGCAAAAAGTATAACATAAAAAGGGAAGTTTTTGCACGGTGGTAGTTGAATGATCTAAATTTTGAAGAAAGGTATGACATAAGGGAATAGAATTGGCCATTCCAGATACTGGTTATTCACATACTGTTTCTTTCCTCTTGAAGTCAATAGAAATCATTCCTTATGCCAGAAAAGAGTAGAAGATAGCATAACAAAAAAAAAAAAAAAAAAGAGAGAGAGAGAGATCCAGGATACCTCTGCACTCTGTCAAGCAAAAGCTCCTGGGACAATCATTACCATATGCCTCAGAGAACTGACAGGCATAAATGGATGTGCTGATGGCTAAAGTGCAAAGACAAGGCTCTTTACAGGGTAACTGGCTCATCGAGCTCTGATACATTATTAAGAAAGAATTCTTTAGTTTAACATGCATGTAAGTTACAACCCTTTTCCCCAACTTTTCATCTAGGACTGGAGAGCTAGATATTTATCCTTTCTACCTCCTTACGAGTAATTATTTACTAATGTTATGACATTACCCGCTTTTTCTACAAGACTGTTTTGGTTAGCTTTTCTGTCTGTTGTTTCTTTTTAGGTTCTCCTGTTCCTCACCTGAAGAAAGAAGACTTGTGCATCTTTTTAGCACTACATATGGAAAATTCACCAAGTGAATCACAGAAACACGTGAGTTAAGTGAATTCAAGGACAGTCATTGTTACCAAGGCTAAATAAGCCATAGTGTCAAATAGGCTCTTCATTTTAAAATTACTGATTTGTTGTTGTGGGCAAAATGATCTTAACTCAGGGAATTTTTACTTAATTCAGTTTAGTGCCAATAGATACGAACTTATGTTTACTGAACTGGGTATTGAGAAAAAAAAAAGAGAACATAAGGAGTTAAATACTGAAGTATACGTCCTTCCTCCATTTTTTTTCCAGGTTCAAATTAAGCCGAAGACCTACCCTCCCACCTTCCTAGTCTCAACTTCCCTTGTTTTCCCCATAGGTTACTCTCAGTCAGTCCCAGTTCCCCCAGGGAGGTGATGGGTGATGGTGCAGGAGGTTGGGGCTGTGTGTGTGATGGTTTGCCTGCAGCTCCTCTGCACTTTTTCTCCGTTTTCCTCTGCTCCATCATGCTTCCTGCTGGCCCTGCCCTGGCATGGGTTGGCTGCTGGCTGTGGTCCCTCAGGAGTCTCTCTGCCCTAGTGTGGGTTGCTTGTGGGCCACAGTCCCGCAGTTGGGATTTTAATCTATTGTATCCTTAGACTCTAATAATTTTTTAGTAAATCAAAGCTTTTTGAAGTTTTGAAGCTACATAGATGTCTGGTTGTTCCTACCATGAGTATCCTTTGAATAGCGTTGGCATTTGCTTGAAGCTACACCTTGTCCCTCCTTTCTCCTGCTTTGGTAGTCTGCAGTAGACCAGCTATTGGGATATTCATCTCCCTACTTTTTTTCATGATTTTACAGACTTACAGACTTTTCAAAGGTCTATGTACCTCTTACACCTTTCCGGATTCCAGTCAAAGTATTTTCACTGTTGATTTAGAATACAACAATTGAGTTATGTGCCGTAGACACACCAGAACTGACTGAAAATCCACAAGAATCAGCAGGTTTCTAGACTTCTTGATCCCTACCCTTTTGCAACAAATGCCATTCTTTTTCTATGGGGTCCTTTGATTGCTGTTACTTTAGATACATGTAATTTGGATGAATGCTTATTCACCGAATGACTATACATTCATTTGTATATGTGTACTTTTACTTGTGTATGTGCATGCAGTATTGCAAAACTGGAATTGTTGTCTGTGAAGCGAGCAAACCAAAAAGGATTATTGCCCTGGGCTGCTCAACAGAGGAACTTCATGCTGTGCCAGTAGTGCTGTTAAGGTTTCCTAATGAACTGAAAGGCTGTGAAGTTTACATGTCTCGGATGCCTTGCAATTATTGTGCAAAATTGCTGGTTCAGGGTCAGTATCAGAACTGAAATATCTCCTAGACTAAAATTGCCCATGTGGCATCCTCACAGGCTGGTAAATTAGTCATGCCAGTCATTTCTCTTCCTCTTTATTTTCTTCCATTTTGCTCTTTGTGTTTTTCCTCAGTTGATTCTATATGAATCATTTAGATCACTGTCAGAAGCTGATGCAGAAAAATATCTTATACAATAGGTAGCTGTGATTGTTAGAGAATATTAAGATGTGATTCACAAAGTCATTGCACAAATTGCTGGTATTTACTAACACATGGATCAGGAAGAGTGAAAGCCATTAAATGAAAAAAGAGCCATGAAACCTTGTAGAGGTGCTAGTTAAATGAGAAAAAAAGTTAAAGGAGTGGTCCCAAGGGATGTGGAAATCCTGAAAAAATAATGCATAGATAATTGACCCCCCAAAAAACAAAAAGAAAACAGCCATTCCCATTTAAGTCATTTATCAGAGAAATGTACCTCAGGTATTAGTATTCAGGATAACAAGGGAAGTAGGTAGATTTTTTACAGACAAGTCAGTCTGTAGTACTTCACAAATAATAATGTACTACCTATATGTTGAATTTTCTGGTTTTTTTTTTTTAGATGCCTAATTGATATACATATTTTTTTTCTACAGTAAACTCAATAACTTCCTGTATCTTTTTAAAACATTCCCCTTGTTTTGGAAATTTTTACTATTTGGTAAATATAATCACCTTTTTTTCCAGTTTAATGACTTCGGGGGGGAAAAAAAAAAAAAAAGCATGAATTGTATACAAAGCTTCCATTTTGACTATGAAAATAATGTGTTAATAAAACATATTTTAATATTATTTTACTAATATGGGGAAAAGCTACAGGTTGTTTAGATACATCCCAAATCACTTTACCTTTATTAATGGGAAAAAATGACCACTAGTATATTTCATATTTAATATTAATCTTGCATATATATTTTCTTTGTTCAGCACAAGTCTCACAAGTGTATTACTGGCCGATGTTTGAATCTGAAACTTCAGAAAATAACTCAAAGGATCATCTGGTGAAACATGCTAATACCATCTTTACAGAAAGCTATGTTGTTGCAGCGGTGTATGTACCAACAATGGACAATCGAAGAAAAATGCAAATACTTAATTCAAATAAAAGAGCATTTTCCAATGATGATCTAATCCCAATTGCATCTATATTTGATGAGAAAATTGGTGTGGATGTTTTAAAGCAGTTCAACTTGGAACACCTGAAAGAAAACCAACTGGAAAAATATAAAGAAAATCTTACTACAGCAAAGATTTGCTTCAAAACTCTGGCAAGTTGCAGAGATGAAAAAATAATAATCTTAGAAGAGAAGGAATCCACTCTAAAGAATAATTCTAAATACACCCATGCATTACAGCTCTGTGATTTATTAGCATCCAGAAGTGGTAAGTAAACTAATATGACTAAATTTAGCTCGGTAATTCACTCAGTGTAGAAAATTCCTACATAATTGATAGTCATATTCCTGGAGATGTAATATACTGAAAAAAACCGCCCCTTTAATTGATTACATTGTATTCTGTTAGGGAATTCATGAACCTCTGCATATCTAGACACACTTAATACGACAGTGGTATTTCCTATGTTATAAAATTAATTATTGTTGCTTCATTGTCTTATAAAACATACTCAGGTTATCTGAAGAAGGCTGGTAGCACAAATTGGGCAAAAATCTCCCTAAGAAAAAATGAACCATCTCGTTACTACCAACTGGTGGTTTTTTTGCTGAAGGGGGAGTTGCTCCAGTGCCAGCCCCAGGTCTGAGTAAGACCCAAAGAAACAGTGCAGAGGTATTTAGTTGGGCTTTTTCTGTACCACTAGACAAACTGGAGGAAGAGGAGGAATGTGATTCTCCTGTCTTCCTCACCAGGTGGGGATTTCTGTCTGCTCAGGCTGATTGCAAGGGACTCTGGTTGGGGCCAGTTGCTCTGTGGTATCAAACAGCAGGCTGTCAGTTCCAACGTTGTTTTTTGTCGAGCTTTCCTATTTTTACATTAAAGGTTTACAAAACTGAAGAAGCACTGCTGCAATAGAAAACAAAACTGGGCGTAATTATCTGTTTCTTTCTCGCATAGTCCAATAGGCTGGCTGGTTGTGGTTGGTTACACTGGATATTAGGCTGGTTTTCGTTCAGTCCTACCTGTGCAGGTTGAGAATAGGATTCACTCAGCAGCACGGCAGATGTTTTCCACTTTATCCCAAATCCCTACTACTGTTTCCCAATGCTTGTCTTCCTGTTGGGTAAATGCATTTGGTTGCTCTGTAGAAGAGAAAACATTGCAAATGTTGACTGATTTTAATCATCATAACAGTTGCTCTTTGCTCATCGATAAAAAAGTGGAGTCTTATGGCTCCCCATCAGCATCACACCTGCACCAGCTCCCCTGGGTCACCAGAAAGTGGAAAGCTTCTAGCTTTCCTTTCCCTTTCCTGCAAAGGACAATTTCTGGAGGTTGTTTCTTCCTGTGGCGGGGAAGAGGGTGGGAGAGATCCTGGGAAATAGATGTCATTACATGTTCTTGTGCCTTGAGAAAAGTCTAAGAGAACTTGCTGTTCAGTCAGAGAAAGTAGTTTTTAAACTTCTTCAGAACCGCAACAATAGGGAGTGTGCTAGTCTCAGCAGTGGGGAAGGTCAATGGTTTTGGTGTTTCTACACGAGAGCACTGGATAAGGCAACTGAGATGGACTACGGGAGATAGAGAGCTATGAGGTCTGGAGATAAGTGCATTGATTAGACTAACATCTGGTTAGTCTTCTTGTCAGCTGTTTACCTGGTTTGGTATTTTCTGGAGGCAGTCGAGCAAGGAACAGAAACTTTTGTCCCAACAGGTATGTTCTGCATCTCTCTGGACCAGCAGGGATGAATAAAAATGCCATACCTTTTAACCAGCAGGTTTGTTGCAATATCATAGTGTTGTATGAATTTATAATTGTGATTATTTGACTGTTTATCCTCAGACAATAATAATGGAGTGGGGACAGTGATATACAAGGAAGACAACATTGTAAGTAAAGGTTTATGTGGTCTAGGAAATTGTGCTCCTCATAAAAATGTCTGATCATGATCTATTGTCATATGAAAATAATGCGTGTAAGATTGTTATGTAATTGGTTATCAGGCATGGAAACATTTAAAAAAGCCCATTTCTACCATAAGAAATGCACTTTAAGTTTACTGGGCTTGTGTTTATGCATGTAAATGAGGAAGTTAACTTGCATCATGTGGACTCAAAAAATGTTAGTGGAGTTGCAGTAATATAAAACAACTTATTGTGAAAAAAAATTTATATTCCCTAGCTTTGTCCCAGAACATTAAGATGATGGATTATTTAGTCCATTTAGTCAGCAGTTAGAAGAGTTGAAGTCCCATATTTGCTAAATTCTAAAGCAATGAGCTGATGTCCCTGATGACGTTACTATTATCATATTGAAATTCCATGCTTATTTTTATTTCATATGTTTCCAAAACGGATACAGCTAAGAAAATATAGCTAACATTTTCCAAATCTTTTTGGTGACTTTGTCTTTATCAGCCTCTTTTGTGTTAATTTTTTCTTCCTAATCAACTTTTCCTGTGATGATTTTTTATAAGCACTGTATTTCATGTTCATAGGAAGATAAATTTCTGGAAAGAAAGACAAATTATCCTTTTGGGGTAAAAGAAAATCCATGGTTTTCTGAAACTTCACATATCATACAAATTTATGATTAGGATCCCCAATCATTTTGAAATGGAGATCTGCATAAACATTACCAAACAGCATCACATGAGGACTCTCACAGAAGTTATTAATAACTTTTAGGAGCTGGATTAGGCTGTAAATAACTAAAGGTCCCAGAACAACATTGCCTTTTGTTTCTTTCTATGTTGTTTCTTTCTAGGTTGCCCTGGGCTACAGTGGATATCCAAAAGGGGCAATGAATAGTTTATTTTGCAAGAAGGCAGATGTTGATTTTGACCAGCATGCAATTGTATGTGCAGAAGCTAATGCAATTATTATGAGGTAGGAACACTTTAAATATTTTGAAGGAATTAGACCAAAAATAGTCTTCTTGTTGGGTGCTTCGTTAATGAAGAAATAGCTCCCTGGCTAATCTACCATGGGAATTTCCAAAGCCTAGAAATAAGAAGTAGTGTTACATAACATGGAAAGGCATTTACAAGGCACTGAGTATAATTGTTTTTTACAGAGATCTAAGTCCGTGTGATCTTATATTCTAACATAAGCAGCCTTATGTGACAGAGGCTCAGAGGTCCCTGCTAGTCCCCTGTCCCTGACCTCATGCAAGCCCAGTTCCCGTGGGCAGGGGTCTTCACATGTGCTGGAGAGGGGAGTAGCCAGTAGCAGAGCTATTGCTGCTGGGTGGGCTCTGGTATTACTTAGCCATCAGAAATGCAGGTCATCACAGCTGGGCGATCAACCTGGACTGCATCCTTCGACACACGCCAACTGAGTTTCAGGAAGTTTCCTGCCTACGGAAAATTTCTCGGCAGACTGACAGTGCTGCTGCAAAAGCTTGTGCCCGTGTCCCTGGCTGATGGTCCCTCTTCTGACAACTGCTTAGTGGGCAGTGTGTTGATTAAATGCTCTGCTGTCCCCTACTCTCATAATCGAAGTGATTATGGTTTGGTGGTGAAATGATTCCTGGATGTACATTTCATAAACCAGAGTGTCTGTCTTTATGGTGCTGTGAGTACACGATGAGTAGGTAGGGCCATTTCCTAAACTAGCAAGCTCTTGGTATGTACTGCAAGTATTTTCTTGTCATGGGCTAGAGATCCCTTACTCACCTCCCTCAGCCAGTGGTAAAAGAGAAAAAAAGAGAACCCACTCAAGGTTCCAAGAGAAATAATTCCTCCTGCAAACAGGCCTTGTTTGTAATTGTGACAATATTGAATTTTTTCAGTTCTGAGAGAGACCTGTGTAATGCTGAACTCATCACTACACGCGAACCCTGCCATGACTGTCTGAAACTGATCCGAGCAAAGAACATAGCAAAAGTCATCTGGCCTCTGCGAGACAGAAACATAGGTGATATGAGAGACGGTTATAAAAGCTGTGTGTGAAGGTTCAAGGCTTGCTGTTCCTTTCTACTCTCCCTGAGGACATCTTCCTAAAAACCTTCCACTTTCCCTTCGCTGGGGAGGAATTGCACACCCCTCACCCTTTCCTGCACTGCCAGTTTCCAGCTTGTTTGCACCACCGGAGGTAGGCTGAGTGCCAAGGGAAGGTGCTTCTCATGGGGGCAGAAGTGGTGGAGGTGGCTGCTCCCACTCTGAAGGGAAAGGGGACAGGGGTGAGAGATCGTGCTCAGAAGCTGTCCTTCATCTCCTTCAGCAGGTGGGGAAGGTCCTGCCGACCGAGGCACATAGCCTTCAGATGGAGCTTCGTGCCCCCTCCTCCTGCCTCCCCAAAGAGGCTCTGCTCTCCTGCCCACCCAAATGGGGACAGTGTTGGCTGCGGCATTTCCTCCCTCTTTTGTGAAGCCACGTGCTCTTTCCAAACAGCTCGTGCTCCACTAAAGGCATGTGCACGGCTCCCTAGAAATCCAGGGTCTGCATGCTTGCCTGTCTTACAGTCTAAATATCCTAGTAGGGGCAGCTCTTACCTTTAAGGCAGTGGTAAGGACTTGTATAAACAGTGTTAAAATCTTTGTCATTCTGTCTTAGAAATAATGTGTAGAGGTGATAATACAATAGGGAGAACAACAAGAGAATATACTGTACAGAATGAGAAAAGTTTAGATTATTCACTATGCAAATAATACAAGAAAAAAAATATTTAGTTGTTGCACATTAGAAACAAACAAACAAACAAGAAATTAGCCATTATCTTGTAGAAGGCCTGGTAACATTCTCCCATGCACTGCTTTCACACTCAGCTGAAGTTGCTATTCTTTAGCACATTTAACTGTTAATAAAAACAATGGCTAGGGAAAGTTCTTACTTACTGTGGATACAGGTAAATGCCTAGTTGGAGCAGATGGTTAAATCTCTTGTGCTGGTAGGGATCACTGACTTCAGATAAGCCTTGCTCTTTCTTCTTCCTGTCTCTTCCTGAATTAACTTAAATTCACTCCAGTCTGAAACAATATTAAAAACATAGGATGATACATAGGTAATTACAAGTGTTTCCTGATTCATTACCAAATCTAAGCTGAGAATAACATTTTTTTGACAAGTAAAGACATTTTTAATACTTTTTTGAGACTGGCTAGATCAGAACAGGATTGGATGTAAAATACACAGCATGACATATGCCATTTCAAGGTAAGAAGCCTGCTATGTGCATTGGCCCGAGAACGGTGATGCTAAACAAGTAGGGCAGGGCAGGCAGTGTCAGTGCATGCACTCTTCTAAGTTAATAATTTCCTAAAGCTGCAAAATTCTCACTAGCAACATGGGATGCATGGTGGTGGTCTGTGAGCCAGAAAGCATGAGAACTTCTCCACAAAGTGGAATTCAACATTATAAAACATGGAAATGTATTGCATTCAAGGACTTTCTTTTCCAATAAAGAAGTGATACGCTGTTTCAAACAGTCAGAGTTGCTGCAGGAAATCTAAGTTTGAATGTTTTTATATATCACTGGCCATAAATTGTGTCACAACTTTGATACCATATTAACACAGCTGTATTTAGCAGATAGAGTGCATTGGTACTACTAGTGGTTTTCATTCTTGCAAAGAATTATCTCAGTGGATATGTGCATGTAGGTCTCTGTAGAACCGAGACCATACAGTTTTATTGTTGTGAGATATAATGAAATAGAGTTATTTTTTCCTTTATCAAAACATAGCTCACTAACACAAATTATTTTTAATGAGCTTGATTTTTTTTAGAGGCTTTTTAGCACACTATCAGTGTACTACCTAGATGACTTTTGTCAGCAATCCAGGATTAACTGAAGATCCTTCAGGTAATGATGTCCAAATAAGATAATACCAAATATGAAAAGGAAAAGTCGTACTAATTGTTCGCTACAATTATGACTTGCTCTGAAATACGACCATGTCAGAGGAGGAGTGGAACAAATGAAACTCAGTGAGGTCATGACATGTGCTAAGTGTGAGACCAAGACATGAGCACTTTGATTACGTAGGTGGTGAGGAATAGTCTGTTGGAACAGGGACAGCTCACCTTATCTTGGAAGAGGAAAAATTATGCTTGCATTGAATTACTTCTCTGAAATCTCTGAGATGATGTGTCTTGTTAGCATCCCTCCCTTTGCAGTGAACTAGTTAATTCAATTGCGGAGATAATTTTTGCCAATTGTTCCTTATTTATGTCTCCCATACTTCTGTTTTCATTTCAGAGGGGTGCTCCGCAGCTGCTGCCGGTGGTGAACCAGCATAAAGCTCCACAACATCAACACCAGCTTTAGGATCCAGTGCCCCCAGGCCTCCCAGTATATTGGTGGTGTTGGGATAACCACCTTGTGATGGCAGCCGCTCTGGTGGTGCCCACTCCCTTCCAGAAGCACACCTCATACCAACCCCCCTGCCACCCCTTTTCTTATTACTGCTTCTGCTGTGCTCTACAGGTATTTGCTTCTGCCTGAGACTTAAGGGTGGGAAAAGCATTTGCTTTTGATGTACCTCCAAGGGGTAGTCATGCCTAACTGTGCGGTGTCTGGAGCCGTGAAGGCAGTGGTTACTTTCTGCAGTCCTCATTCCTTCTGCAGCTTTTCTTCTCTTGGATTAGTCAGAGCATCTGAATGAGGATTTTTCCTTTTCCATTACTGGAGTTTCCCACCCTCCTTCACATTTATTTTATTAGATCTTCTTGTTTTTCAGCTGAAAAGTAACTAGTTCCCTGTTTCCTTGTCTCTCTCTGCTCTGGAGTATTTGGTGCTTGTGTGTCCTTTCCCCATCCTTCTCCCCTTTTTCTCTGGTGTAATACAATGTTTAATTTTGTTTCTTATTCATGGGCCTCTTTATATGTCCTCTGATAGTCTCATACCTGTTTTTAATTGGTCTTTGTGCCATGTTGATCATGTTTTAGACTTAATTTAATCTCTGTCCTTGAAACACCAGACCAATTAATGTGGAATATGCTTTCATATTTTTCCAGGCTAAATAATTTTGCTCTAAATGAGCCAGGGGTTTGCAGGCTATGGTGCTGACAGCTGCTTTTGTCCTTGCCTTCAGTCTCCCTCAACTGTAGTTTCAATATAAGGATTTTCTAGGATGGCCCCAAACCCTGAATCACCTACAAAAATCGTCTTGATTTTTAAATTATCATTCCAAGAATGCTATTATTTGTGGCTTTTTAGCTTTCAGCAATTATTCCTTTTACGCCAACCTCTTTGGAGTGAGATCATCAAAATGTTTTGCACGGGATTAAATTGAAGGTTATGTCACTTAAAAAAAAAATAAATTTGTTTGCAGTTTTCAACATGTGTCCTCTGACTGTGTTCCCTTTGGAGATGGTAAGAGCACACCATCACAAACCAAATGGCAAGGCCCTTGCCATGATAGCACTTGGTACTCACGTTGGAGTGGATGTTGCTGTGACTGGGCATGTATTTGTTTCCCTCACACAAGGCACATGCAAGTCTTGGGCAAACCTCTGTTCTTCATTTCACCCTTTCCCTCTGTTATGTGGTAGGAAAGTGTGTAGGCTCTGTGCTTAGTGTGGAAACTGAGAAGGCAGCAGCAGAAAGAGGATTTTCATACAGGGTAGCACAGTAGTGTGTGTGTGTGTGTGTGTGTGATCCTGTAAGAGATCTTTACAGAGCTAAATGCTATATGTAAAAATAATATGATAGTGTTGCAAGTCCAGAATCTCTCCATTCTAGACAAACTGTCATGCACAGGCTTAATTTTCTGATAACTCAAAGTCTTGGGAAGAAAGCTGTGCATCTCCTGTTTTAACTGCAACAACTTTCCCTGGTTCGTGCAGAAACCCATGAAACCATCAGAAATGTACTCCCCGTTGTAATTGCATCCCAGTCTGATGTTTTAAGTGCATGCCCATCGCTCCTGGCAAAGGTGGAGCAAGAATTTGTGTAGGAGAACCCCGCAAAGAATACTAGGATGCAGAAAGGACCCATTTTCTTCCAGCCAATGTTTCTAGACTTCATCTAACTCACTACATTATCCTAGAACTTACCTGTCGGAGACTATGTTTGCACATGTCAGACACTGGCCTTTTTATTCACTGAATTATGGATATTTTTATGTGTATAGGTATGATGTATAATTTTTTAAAAGTATCATGCTATGTTAATGACACTGACATTTAAATAATCACTTAAGATGTAGATGTACATAGTATCTTTTTTCCCCAAAAGCTTACAGGTTGGTATCACTTGCCAACAAAATATTTGCCTGTGGCCTTACTGAGAAAATTTTTATGACTGTTTCACCACCCTGCCACGCTATAACCATAAAATTATTTGTTCTAAGAACCATTAGCTTGAAAGAGTAAGACAAAGCCTAGGGTGAGCTCTCTTGGCTGTATTATGGGATACCAGTAATGTAACCAGGGAAAGTAGGAAGTGTTCAGGACTTAATCCTAGTAGAAGACAGGCTAAGTCTAAGCAGAAGAAATGTGGATACGGTAAGAGATGATTAAGGTGCTTAGCCTTTCTGTTATAAATCATCAAGCTTTGTGTGTGATTGTCTTTCTATAAATCATAAAGCAATTTATCTTAGCCTTGTAAGCAAATGATTTTTGCAGGCATTTTGCAAGCATTTGCACAAAAAAAAATACAGGACTGATAGTAAAGGCTTAGCCTTCCTTGTGATAAATAGCTTAGCTATGAAAAGATAATTATTTTCATGACAATGTACTTGGATAAATAACATAGATTAGAACAAGAACTAACAGGAGCTAATAATGAGAATAAGAATGTTATTTTTCCCAATTGAGTTATTCAAGGATGAGTCCTTTATCCCAGCTGTCTGATTTTGGATTCTGGATGGTGCTGACTGAAGGGAGGGACAAAACCATTCTGCTTTCAGACTATAAAAACATATGTGAAAGCTGAAACTCTCTCTACTTGCCAGTGCAGGTATATAAGCATCTTGATGGTTTGAAGATTACTTGGAGAGTTCAGGGAACTACTATGTAAAATTAAAGTAAATATAAAAGGCTAGTATGAAAGGCCTCTGTGGAGACTGGTGAGGAGTTCTCTGGTCAGTAACTGTTCTTGCTTCCCATGGTAGGCACCCCTCCACCTGTGTTTTCCTCCTCATTCTTTGCTGGGTCCGTGGATCTCAAGTAGATGTGGACATAATCAAATTCAGCCACTACAGTACTGTGGGATCTAATTCTCAAAAGGAGGTAACATTGCCTGTAATCTACAATTGTCTCTACTGCAATTGAATTTCAAATCACCCAGAGGAGGCCTTGGAAACTATTAAAAGAATTTTCCAGAAGGATTACTTCATTGGATTAACTTTGAAGTTGCTCATTAGTGGCAACAATGTCTTTTTTGTTCCACCAGCAAGAGTGCCAGCCTGAGTGAGGACTGCCCAACCGACACATCACGACTGGGGAAGTTATTTAAGTTTTCACTTCATGCATAAGTTTTCATCTAGTATTTGATTCAGATTCTTCTTGAAGACAACAGTCTCATTCCATTGCAAAGTATCATTATTAAATGTAACTAAATTTAAAGTTCTGCTTTGATTTATGCCAGCATTTATTATCTTCTTAGGCAGCACAAGGGATTCGTTATCTTCTCTACTTTCCACCCCACAGCAAAGTGAAGTTATACGGGCATTAGCCACGAGGTGGCAATACAGGAGCTTGAGATGCTAAATTTTGCCAGTATTCGTAGCCTTCACTCAGGTTAGACTTTAGGGTATTAGCTAAGTAAATATATACTTGCAGTGTTACTGCAGACTTTCACTCTGTTTCCCAGTACATAATATGTGCTCCACAATACATAATTGACTTCATGTAAAAGTCAAGGAAGGCTAAGCTGATTTTCTGGATCAATAATTTATGCCTTTTATGTTGCTAATAGTTTATATCTGTATTTAAGCGGCTCAGTAGTCAATAAGAGGTGTTATGCTGGGAACTCAGCTGCTGTTAAAAGCAAAATGTCTCAGGAAGGGGGATGCACTGGCAACATACAGCTGTCTCGCTGTGAGTCCTCTCCTGGCTTTAACTCCTGACCTTTCTGAGGTCCAAAGGAACCTGTACAGTTTGTACATGTGGATTTCCCAGAGAGCTGATTGCTTCACTACATTGAAGTCTGCTTCTGTCGTCTAGGTTTTAGATTCACTTCTCAGCATGGCTGATGCTTGTTTTCCTGCATTATAAGACCATTCAACAGCGAATCAAAAGTCATATCAGGTGGAAATAGTCGATTTCTTCAGATTTTTTCATCCTTTCTTGTAATTAAAAGTATTTGTAGTGTTTGCAGGCAGAGGGAGGGTAGTAATAACTCTGTTTTCTACACTTACGTTCAAGGACTAGTTTTCCACCCACTGTAATGGAGAAAGAATTTTAAGATATTTCCTATTTTGATGTTCCTTCTTTCGGTAGAAGTCAAAGCTACAGCTTTTCAGAAGGTTGGTTTTTTGCTTGTTTGTTTGGTTTGTTTTTTTCATTCATATAAGATAGATTAAAACAATTCTAGCATAAGAAACTGACTGTGGACTTGGCAAATGTCTCATGTCACTATATTCACCACAATATTTATTTGAACATGGGGAAATTATTATGGACACACATTTTGTTATTTCACACAAAAACGATGACAGCCTGCTGCTGTATTACTCTTGATGTGGGACCAGTTTTCCTCTGAGCACTTTATGGGAAAGCTTATTTTCAATCAGATGATACATTGTGAAGTCAGCATGTTAGCAAAACATGCAAGTTTGTGGTTTAGTAGATAAATAGCAGTGTAAAGAGGAGAACACAATTGGAAGCCTTGAAAAAGTAAGTAACTTTTGAGATGTGAAATTCTATCAGCAGGATTTGAGATGAAGTTCTGCCGGTGAGCTGGGCATTCAGGCTGCCCGATCTGCTGTGGGCACGCGTGCTGAGACTGCCACGTAATTCGAATAACATCCAGCTGCTTCTGCAAGCCCATCCATGGCCTGTGCCAGATCCAACGCCTCTCCAGGCCAGGCGCATTGGCACATGCGTGCCCCTATCCTCTCAGAATTCAAGCTTCACAATTTCTAAGGCTCAGAGGAAAGAGTTGGCTAATCCCTCTGCACAATACTGACCACAGGATTTAACAGTGTAACGCAAATGGGGACTTGTATTTAGTGGAGGCACCTGGGCTGTGGTGTATCTCTAACCCTATCTGTTAACGTCCAGCTGCCTGCTCAGACAGTTGATAAACTTTGTCTTCAGGGCTGATAACAGCATATTTCTTCTGGGAAAATGCGCATGATCCCTCAAGCTGCTTCTGTTTCTGGAGATTGTTTGCATGCACGCATCAGCTTTCTTGTTTGCATACTGCACAGCCTGCAGCCACACAAACCTCAGGCTGTGCTCTTGGAAGGCTACACAAAATAAGCTTTAAAAATTTGGCTGGTGTTTGAAGAACTGAAAGTGAGCTTTGGGACATGATTTTTGAGGACCTGGGTAGCTACTGCTTTTTCCCTTACAGCTTTCTCCAGTTGCATTCACCAGCTCGTGGGTGAGGTGTTAGACATAAACCCCAATGTGAGCCATTTCTCAGAGGTCATGTGTAACTGGCTGTACGAGCAGATAGATGGCTAACTCAATTCAGTGTTTATTATAATTGATAAGATATTATTTCTGTCTGCCTAGATTATTCTGTAGTGTCAAATGAAGAGGATGATTTCACACTTTTATTAATCCATGATTTTTGGACATTACCCTGACAACTGTGACTGTACAGAATAGCTTGTATGCCTGGGAAGGGAGAATTAAAAAGGGAATAGAGGAGCAGAATATGACTACTAGCCTGAAAACACAGTGCTAAGAAGAGAGACTACACCTCATATATTTGTCTTCCAGAAAAACAGAAGCCATTCTTGGCAAATGCCCAGTGTTCTGCACTGTAAATTCTCCTCTGTGAAGGAGCATTTTTAGTGTTCTGCTTCCTGTAGCAGCTACCTTTTTCTTCCCTAAATTTTGGTGCTTATTAACATGAGTAGGATATGAAAAAGACAGAGAAGAGGAAAGATTCTAAGCATTCAGAGGCAGCCACAGAAAGCGTTATTGAAATATTTCTGCTTATCTTGCCAGAAACAACCCAGAAAATCTTCCTGGAATCTCTAAGATCTTCCTGGACTGTACCAAAGTGTTTCAGTGGGGCTTCGGATGGGGCTTGAGGCTGTGGGAGCGAAGTGCTTTCTGGGCTCTATTCAGAGCAGCAAATTTAGTTCTACCTGTGTTCCTCCAGACTTCTGTCCTTCTGTTCTGCATCTCCTGAGCTGGGAATCAGCTTTCAATG